GCCTATGCTATCAATGTATAATAATAGATTAAACCGGAAAATATTAAACAAGAGATCAACGGTGTTGTTTGTTGTTGACACGCAAACCACGACTATTGATCACTTTCAGGTATCTTCGGATGAATACCATCGGTGAACAGGCAAAAAATTCTTTACTGTTGAATCATCATCACATCAGAAAATTATTCTTGTAATAGTGTTATTTGGCTGCAGACGAGTAAAAGATAATCGATATTTGGCTCCATTAATGAAGTGCAACCCAATTTCCTAATTTAGTCGCAACTTCGCTCGTTCAGAAACTAACTTTTTACGTCTGATAGAATTTTATGTTGCAGGTAAGTAACCGCAAAAACCACCTTCTTGCAGAAAATCAATAAATCCCCGTATAACATAATAAAATTGCGTAGCAAATACAAATTTAACTCGACTCTCTTTTATTCCCAATTTTAAAGTATCTGCATACGAAAGTCGTGGAAACGTAAAATGTGGAGTATTTGTTTCTGAAACGAATATCCTCGAGAATCATTGAATTTGTGGGTGCATTATAACTGCAATGCTTTCAGCGTAATGACGTTCTTTATTACAGCATCATTTTGTTCCTTTAGTACTAAGTAGAACAGAACGGTATTATGAATTTTGACAAGCAAGAATATTAAGAACAGCAACAAAAGCTTTTCATATTCTTCTATTCGGAAAAAATACAGCTCGAAAAGAAAATGTCTGTCAATGCACATTGTTGAACCAAACACGAAATAATCGAAACTGTAGATCCATTAGACTTTGTTATCTTTCTTTACAATAAAATGTTTTCCCAGATGGTCACTTTGTCATTAAATTCACACACAAAATAAAGCACTTTTATTTCAACCCCAAATTGACACCGATTACTCCACAAAAGTAGCACAAACTAATTTCAAATGTTGTATTGTGCTCAAAATTATTTCTTTCATAGCGACACTCAAAAAATCAAATCGAAAGTGCAAACTGAGTTCAAATAAATATTTATATGCAATTTAAAACATTTGTATTCGACTACAAAGACCAATTCACTTTATTATCAACAAGATAAGCTGCAACCGCGTATTACAAAGAAACACTGGGAATATTTTGTTCCTTGCTGATTATAGACCACAAAAGATTATGTTAAAATCACTAAACATTTTCGATAATAAAATAATATTAAGGCTTTTAAATGTATCCGTTTTAGCCTACATTTTTAACGAAGATATGAATAAAGATCGTTTATTATTACATCATAGTTATCCTTCTGTGAGGCAACTGTTTATATTTTGATAACAAATTTTTGTCGGAAGAACAAATAAACAGAAACGATTTTTTAATTTTTATTATTTTCTTTTATCAATCACATGTTTTTATTGTAGAGATAAGTAAATTATATTAAAATTTAAAATAAAACAGTTATTTTTTATGCAGGGAATAAACAACAATTTTAATGCTGAGAATATAGCTAATGCCTGAGGCGACCGAAGTTTTATTCAGTTCATACAATAACAATTTTAAGAGTGAAAATCGATACCAAGAGTTTGTTTAAAAACACCTCAAATGATTCATTTCTACATTACATTAACAGTTTTTAAGAGTAAAAATCTGTATTTCATTTATTTTATTCCCGAGGGAATAATATAACAGAAGAGGAAATAAGCGTCCTTTTATTCCCTGTTGGGAGGAAATAAATAACTCCAAAACTTGTAATCCATTTCAAAACTATAGGACAAAATGACCTGTTATTAAATCATTCTATCTGTTCCCCACTTTGCGACATGCAATCCGAAAAGTATTTCAGATTAGATCTAAATTGTGCAGTGTTGTATTGCACGTCATAATACGTATATCTCTAGTAACAGTCCAAAATTACTCATTTGCTGGGATTATCCTGAAATTCAGATATTTACTATTTCTAACATAACATCAATAAATACATCCTATTTTCAGAATTTGTATTTTTAGCTTATAATAATTCCATTTTGAAAAACTTTAATCTCTCAGCAGTAAAGTGAACAAGAAGCAATCTAATAACCTTTATAAAGATTAAATTGAAAACTGGACCCATTAAAAGATCTAAATCTAAAAGTATCTGCAAGTGACAAAGAAACAAAATGTCATCAAAACACAGATGTCTTTTCCTGGAAAACATATCTGCCAACATGACCCAACTTTCAACTATTATAATTTTATCGTTATCTTAAACAAAGTGTTCTAATGTTTAATTTAGATTACTCTGATATGATAACAGACTTTCTCTTGAAAATCCCGCGATTGCTTATACACCACACACCAAAATCAATGTTAATATGATTCAGAATGTTTGATCGTCCACAAATAACTCATTTTAAAATCCCACATTTCATTTTCCTTGTTAAATTCGTCATGACATCCTACACGGCTACGACTTGAAGAAAAAGATTTTCCTCGGCACTCATCGCTCAAAAGACGTTTTCTTGACATAACAGACTGGCCAAATAAATAATAATTGTTTATTTTGCAAACAAAGCAAATACGTATTCGCTTCAAACTGACCTAGTTTTTACCCATTATTCAATCGAGTTTATTTACAGTGTGAAATGTATTCAAATAAACTTGATATTTTTTAGATTCGTAGAAATTTAATTGATTAATAGATAAACTTAATCATCATTTTGGAGAACACTAAGTCGCGTAACGATTATTGATTATACTCTAATGAGTTTTAATCGCATTGAAGAGGAGACGAACCTTAAAACCAATATTAATCATCCGGGAAATTGCAAGAGTGGAAGGCGCGGACGGGAAGAAACCAAAGGAATTTGTAATCACTTTACCGATTTTAAATATTGATCGTTCTAAATCTACAAGAATTACAATCCCCTCAATTGCAAAAATATCAATTTATTTGTTCAAGCCACGTGTGATCACTGATGATCAATCAGCTCTGATTTCCACACACAATCTGTTGATGTACATACTTTCAACCAACAACCAGCATGCAACAGAAAAATTACTACTTTTATACAGTATGTTTTATCACAAAATATCATCCAATACTCGACATCTGCAAGAAATGCAGACAATAAAAGCTTCTGCTAGTCATAGTAACTTTCTTTGCGATATAATTGACCATGGCAACACAATTAAAAGCACGTATTGAACACGTCATGTTGCAGAATATTCTAACTATTATTCTCTGCTCTTTTATAATGGATTACTTTTAACCACTAAACGGTGGCAAAAGATATAAGTATTTTCTTTAGAAGAGAAAGGCAATGGTTATGCCCTCAAGCACCGATATTGCGATAGAAAGTTTGCCAAACCATTGTTTAAATCAGCATCAACAAACTCAAAATTGTTCTCTGTAGTATAATTTTGATTATTACTTATATTATAATCTTTTATTACCATTTTTCTAAATTTACTTTCAGTGTAATATTTATTTTAAGCGTCAAGTAAACATTTATTTTAGCAAAGTTAATTTTTTGTAACTTCCGTTTTTTTAGAATAACACTAATCAAAACAAATTAAAAACAACTTAGAACAAAAACTAAAAAAACACTTTCAAAAGATGATTTTCATAAATTGGCACAGATCATTTCACCAATTTGGAGTAAAAATATCAATTAAAATAATTAGTTTTTATGCACAAAAAAGATAATTTTGGGCACAAAACAAATTATCAGGCGTTACATGCGTCAGTATAGTCGCGCTTTCGGGTGAATTGCGCACATCGATTTGGAATCAAATTGTAAATCAAGTTATTACTACTCAAACGTCGAATTGACTAGTGTATGGGCATCACTTCCAAGACCGATTTTCACTAAATGTTTGGGCAGGTCAACCTATTTAATTGGTGACCGATAAAAGCAACAGAAAAAAACAACCATTATTTCACTTGCTTTTTTTTTAACTACAAAACTTGATGAGCAACTTCCAGTGAGTCAGCTGGTATTCCACCATTTCTTCCGCGTGTAGGTTTCCAAAGTCCCCAAGTCAATGACGCACCATAAAAATGTTCATACCAGAAAAAAGCTACTTTAAATATTCATTTCTGTCGTAAAATTACAAATTCTATAAAAAATTGCAGTCATTAGAAATTCTTGTTCTTGGCAAGTCAAGATCATGTCACTTCCTTTTAAATCGCTTCGACTTTTTACACATTATCTTCTACACGAAAAGACCAAATGAAGCATCTCAACTCGTCTCTTCAACTGATATTTATGTACATGCAATAAATCATAATAAAGTAAATCTTAAACTCGTCGTTAGAATCGCGACTTGCATTTTAAATGCATTACGTGACGAGCTAAAGTGGCACTGACAATAATAATTGGCATTGTCCGGTACAAGTGAATTTCTTAAAGTTCAAACTCGATCCTTGGATTCGACTTGTAAACGATAACGATTTTCACGCCAATAAACTCTTCAACTGTGACTCATAATAGGCCCAATTATGTACGAAGCGATGGTTTTATGAGAACAACGAAACTACTGAAAATTATTGTCACGTGTGAGCGTCATTGTTCGACGAAATTTAAAATTCAAATTTTTCACTTTTTATCAAAACCTGACCCAACCTAACTCGGTAACATCCACTTCCTGTTTTCGACAAAATAAATCGTTTATACGAAAGGAAGTGTTAAACCATCATGATCTACTGATAACACATCATACAATAATTAGGTTCACTGCACTCAAGACTGAGACGTAAATTGAAGATTTTAATTTGTAGCAGTTATCACATTTATTAGCATCATTATTCTAACTCTACAAGTTTTTACAACAAGGAGCAAAAACGTTTCCTTTCACTGCACGACTAATTATTTCCAAAGGATTCACGACTCAGTTCTCAGTTTCCTCCAAATTATACAAACAATCTCTCAAACAATAAGATCGATTTTATTGGGTTGGAAGTGCCCTCAGGAAACGATCTATAGACGATAAAGAAATTGGAACAGACGACAGGCAACCTTCCTGAAATCTACAACAAAGGCTCGAAATTGAAAACAATAAGAGAAAAAAGATTTTATTGCACAGACCACCAATACGATACAACCTTGAAAATAATGACTCACGTGTAATTTATGCAATTTATAGAAATTTTACAAACTACGTCGTCTAAAACAATTTAATTGGACACGAATCTGGATAAAATGACTGTCCCCTAGAGACTCACTAGCCTTAGAAATAAATAAAAAAACTAAAACGCCAACATTTGCAAAAAATCCTTCTTAGTGCTGTAGATGTATCAATATACTAATGTTTGTATTCATTTCGGTGACGATGACTCACGCTAAAAAACAGGTAGTCAATTAAACAATTCACAATACTCGTAATTTTAAAGAATTGCTCATTGGAATTACATAACTGGAAAACAAGTGCTTGGATAAGTGAGTGCGATACACCATAGGAATTGAGAAAAATCCAGGTGTGGCCCTTGTAATAATTTATACAAAAGACATGGCAGCTCGTAATACCTTTTTGTGAATCAAAATCACCAAAATATGGTAAGAATCTAAAAAATGTACATACTTTCAGTTAAAAAATCTATGTCAAACCTGATTCTCCAGCAGTGACCAGTCAATGATTCGTAAACAAAGTGTACCACACAAAGTGGCACAGCCCCATTCGTATACATTTACCATGAATTTTTCACATTTTAAACAGAAAATACATTTATTGATTGAGATGTGAGAATCTTTGAGCTAAGGCCCAAAAGGCTTACCTTCTGATAATTCTAAATCTAGTTCGGCTAGTTTTTCCCTCACATCCTCCGGTAGTTTGGAAACGTCCACGTTTAGGTCCCCCATGACTTAAAAAAACTAACTTTTCACATGTAAACAATACATAAAACACTCTTTCGTTACACCGCACTTGCCATTGCTTCACCGTACTTCAACCATTTTAGAAATTTTGATAGATTGCCGGGTCGGTATTAGAGAGCTCTGTACGGTTGTCAAAGTGACAAGCTGCAACGTTGGCTACACTGTATCTGTATTTGTCTTAAAAACCAAACACTACCTTTTTTTCTTTTATTTTAAGTGATATTACCCACATTATATTAAGCGCAATATTAAACACTAAAAAATATTATTAATTTAGCTATACACAATACAGGTTCATTGCACAGTATCTTAGCTACTGCCCGCTAGGTGGCTGAAATTGTCACGTTGACACAACCAAATAGCGGGTAACTGTAAATGATTGTTGTTATTTTGATTCTCGTTGACCTCAATTTAAAATCTTAATTTGGCAATATTGACTCTTAAATTCAAGCGAAAGGATTAGGAATAATTCATTATTGGAATATTGTCAATAATTTTTTTGTCATAAACAATAAAAATAAATGTAGAATTAATTTGTGAAACTCAATTAAACTTTATTATACATATAATTATGTGGGGAGCCCCGAAGTTATATTACAAGAAGTGTTTTTGATTTGCTCTGAAACATCTGCAAGACCGTCTAACTCAGACTCAAGCTTATGTAGTTTTTCATGGGATTCAATAGCGTCCTGGAAATATTTGATTTCTTTTTTAATTTTTTTTATCTCTTCTTCACTTGGCACAACATCTAGCACCGCCATGTATTCTTTTAGGAGCAACTTTTTTTCTCTAATATCCGCTAAATACTGTTCAATTTGCAACAAATAATGATACAAAAATGTGGCTTTCTACTCACTTTTTTTATGTCATCCTTTAATATAATTTTTTTCTCCTCTTCAGTAAAATCAATACCGTCGAATGTCTTTTCCAAGTCCGCGAGCTCAGCACTTATATCGCGAAGTAATTTCTCCGATTCTTTATCAACTGTGGGTTGAAAATTGTCTGATTTTATAAAAGTTTTTTCATATTTATTCAATTCTATGTTCATTTGATTGACATTATTTTGTATTTCTGAAATACTTTTTGCTACTGCATCTGCATTATTAATCAACTTTTGATTGAACTTCTCACTTGAATCTAAAAAAAAAATAATAAAATTAAATTAAACAAATCCGTTACACATAAATACCTCTTAAAAGCTCTTTCAGGGTGTTCGTATTATTTTTCAAATATGCAATAATATGTTGCAGTTTTTCTTCAGAGTCATTTATGTAATTTTCAACCAGATTTATCGGAAGTTTAATCGCATCAAAATCTTTTTTCACTTTTTCGATTTCTTTGATTACATCGTCTACTCTTTCATTTACAATCTGGGTTCTATTTACTTCATTATCGTACATTTTGGCAACATCATTGTAATTTCTCACAAGTCCATTTAAAATACTCTTCAATTCTTCATATTTGTTTCGGCCTTGTTGACACAGTTTAGATACATTTTTCCCGATTCGAACCGAATCTTCAATATTGTTTTTATATATGTTGGCTTCTTTCAAAATTTCATTAATGGAATTATTATAATTTGAAAAATTGGATAATTTTTGTAAAATTTCATCTACCAAGTTCTGATCTTTTATTATGTTTAGTTCAGTGTCATCTAATTTTTTAAAGACACTATCTTGTTTTACTTCAATTTTTCTCGTGTCTTTTTCTATTTTCTGTAATTCATTGATATCTTTTTCGAAGTTATTAAGATCATAAATTTTAGAAACGTTAACCGAGAAAGATGTCGAATTAAAGAGATCGATTAGCTGAATTAATTCGTTGAAGCTAGAGTTTACATTTTGATAACACTTTCGTTGATCGAATTTACTGTTGCTTGTAGCATCTAAAATAGGTATTTATTTGGTTTAGCTGGTTTAAAAAAGATTGGCCAATTACTTACCAGTGTAACAAAAGTAGAAACAATAAAAAATCCATAAAATTATGCTCATGTTATTTGGAAACGATTGGCATGGTATATTATAAAATAGAACGCTGTTTGTACAAGATTTGTAATCTACTGATAAGAGTAGTGTACCAGTCTCGACGAAAGACAAATGAAATAAAATTGAAATTTTATTGTTCCAAATTATACACAATATTTACAACAGACAATTGAGTATACTAAACACTTTTAGAACACAAAATATGGCAGTAATAAAACTACATAATAAAAATATTCTTAGTATAAAATTGTGATAGAATCTTTGGTATTAAAACTATGAAAAAATATAGTATATAACTTAAAACCTAAAAGAATAAGTATCTGAACAAAGTTAAGGTTCAAGTTCGACTCGCTTGAAACACCCTTCGGGAAGAGCTTTCGCAATTTGCTCAACGTTTTCAACTTCCCTTTGCAATTGATCAATTTGCGTCTTGTAAAAATTAATCAAATCGTTCTGTCCTTTTTGTTTTTCTCGCAACTCATTCAATTTCTCATCCAGTTTAGCTTCGTTAACTTTTTCTTCAGCCTCCTTTAACTCCTTCTCCAAAACATCCAACTCATCGTCGTCAATTTGTGGTAAATTCCCTAATTCGGCCAAAATACTTTGCACATTCTTCGTCAAGTCACTCACTTTCTTCGACACTTCTTCCGTCTCCTTACCAGCCCGACCGACCTGAAACGACAAATTCAAAACCAAGAATCACCAGCATCTTACTCACTTTTTCTTTGGCTTGGTTGATCAATGTATCATTCGACCTTGTTTCCTGGATGAGCGTTCTTAAGGCCGATTGGGTCGCCTCCACTCGATCTGCCATCAAATCCGCTTCTTCATTTAATCCAGAGGCATTCTGGAACAGCAAATCAGCGTCGTTTTTGATACTTTCAGCGTTGGCTGAGGCGTTTTTGGCAAGTTCGTCGGCTTGGAGTGCTCTCTTCAGGGCTGCGTCAGCGTTGCCTTTAGCCTCCCGAAGCGTCAATTCCGCATCTGTAGCTTTGTCGAAAGCATCGTCAATCACCTCTTGGATACTATCAACTTCTTTTAAAGCTTCCTCAGACGCGGCTCTACTGTCCTGCACCTGTTTATCAAAATCTAAAAACAAATTTTACCCAAAAATTCATACAATGACAACAATTTACGTGTCAAAATCTTGTACGTCTCTTTAGTCGAATTCAAAATGTTGTTACCCATCTTAACCGCCGCTTCTGCGTGACTTTTATACAAATATATTTCCTGTAACAAGTCGGCAGTATCGTCTTGTTGGATATTAGCTCGGTCTAGTTGTTCGCGCCCTCTGTACAACTGTTCGTCTATCTCCACAAGAAGTTTATTACTCTCAGAAACAATGTTATTAGTGTCATTTCGTAATTGCAGAGCCTCTTGTTTGACTTTCTTCGCTTTTTCCTTAAGTTTCGTAATGTCAATTTCAGGGATGATCAAATTAGTGACTTCGTTTAACAAAGCTAAAGCGTCTTTCTTGGTTTCTCTCGCCCTGTCACTGACTTCTTGCGTCCATTCTTTGGTTTTGTTAAGCTTGATTTCAGTGTTTACAAGTTCTGACCGTATTTGTCTTTCAGTCTCACTAACATTGTTTTGTTGTCTGATGGCATTTTTAGCAATTTCGTAAGCTTCATTTGATTTGTTTTTAGCTTCGTTGGCTTTTTGGGTTAAAGCATCCGCGTCTGCGTCAAGTTGGTCGGCGATTTCTCGAGCTTCGTGGGCAATTTGGGTCATCCGATCGGATTGTTGACCGACGATTTGGGCCCGCTTCCAGGCACTGTCTAGAGCTTTTCTTCCCCGAACGTCCAAATCTTCAAACGCGTCGTTCAATTTATCTTCAGTTTCTGCCAACAGATTGTCAGTGTTTTCAATGTTATGCTCAGCGGCGGTTGCTTTTTCATTGGCCAAGTAGACATTCTCGTCGATAGCGGAAAGCGTCCGCGAAATTTCCTTCTCTCGATTTCTTATATCGCGGACTTGTTGGATGATACTATTCTCCCCAGTCGCTTTTTTCACTTTTTCGTGGAAAGCATCAATGTTAGTTTGGAGTTTATCCAATTCTGAAGGAAATTCATCATCATCTATAACAGTAGGCCGTCTTTCAACTTCATCAAGGATATCATTAAGTTTTGCGAGCTTCTCTTGGTGTTCTTTTGACGCGTCTTGGACTAAGTTGTAACACTCGGGGCAATCGATACAGCCTCTTTGCCGGTCATATTTATTTTCCTTGCATCGGTCACATCTACGGCCTTCGACATTGTCCAAACATGGGCATTGCCCAGAGGGGTCACATTGATGGTCCCTTGAACCGATTTTGTCACATTCGCATTCTTTGCACCCTTCAGAAGAGAAGCCGTATTTGAAAGGTTCACAGTGGTCACATCGAAGACTGTAAAAAAATGTAAAAACCTATATTCCTGATATTTTTAATTTGTCTCACCCGTTAATTCCCGGTCGACAGAAACACTGTCCAGTGTATACATTACAAGTTTGGTTGTAGGAACCAATAGGATCACAGTTACAGGAATGGCACCCTTCCCCACTCCTCAAGTTGAAATACCCATCCTCACACTGATCACAATTCCTTCCAATGACGTGAGGTTTGCAGTGGCACGACCCCGTGATGCGGTCGCACTCAATTGACCCTCCATTCGATTCGGTTCCTGCTGGGTTACACTCACAGGGTTGACAGTCCCCTTTTGGTAACGCCAAGGCATTTCCGTAGTACCCCGGCAAACACACTTCACACTTAGGCCCCCCTGTATTATGTATACACTTCAAACACTCGCCAGTGGTCGTATTACAATTCCCGATCCCGTTTGGATCAATATTTAGGTTACAATCACACTGCGTACAAGGCTGTTTCGGCCCAAATCTCCCCGTGGGGTCCCCAAAATATCCATCTGAACACGAGTCGCACTTATGACCCGTATGACCCACCGGACATTCCGTACACATGATTATATCTTCATCCACTTGAATGCAAGCGCCACCATCGGGACACCCACACGGCTTACAGTCTTCGGGAGTACCTCCGAGGGCATTACCGTAGTACCCCCTTGCGCAAAACTCGCAATTATCCCCGGCTGTGTTATGCTCACAAATGCATCGCCCGGTCTCGGAGTCGCAAATTTGCGCATGTTGGTTGCAGTCGCAGAGGATGCAAGGCATGAATCTGCCTCCAAGTGAAGGGAAGTGGCGGTAGCCCGGTTTGCACGACTCGCAGAAGTAGCCCACGTAGCCGGTGGGACAGACGCATTGTTCGACCCAAAGGGCCGGAGGGCCGGCTACTTTTTGAGCCGCTGTTTCGAGCTTCACATCGGTGAGGAAGCCGACACCTTGAGGGGCGTAGGTGGCGCGGATTTTGATAGCGGTGATGTTGTCCAAGAGAGACATGAAGGCGCGGGCTGAAAGGCGGGGTTGCCAGCCGTAATTGGGGTGCTCATGAAGCCGGAAACTGTATTTTTGCTTCTGTAGACAAAGTGTTAAACCGTTAAATCTTATACCAAAGAAATCTTTACCGTGTTTGTTGGAATCTTGTTTTGTTGGGCAAAAATGGTGTTGGTGACGGACGCTCCACCTCCTTCTAAGATAATATCAGTGGCGGTGGGTATAGGCCGATCGTAGTCACCAATCCAAAAACTGAACTGTAAGAGTTGGTTATAGGAAAACCTTCTTTCGCCCAGAAACCGCTCATTTGCCAAAAAGTAGACAGTTTCGTCGCCTCGTGCCTCAGCTTTAATACTGTGTGCTAAAGGAACGTGTTCGATTTCAACATCTCTGCCATACTCGTCTTCAGCTTGCCACCGTTCGGAGCTTCTTGAAAAAACTGAGTCGATTAAGTGTTTGGCGTAATTTCTCGCCGAGTAACATTCGGAAGAATGGCCGTAACAGAAGCACGGAGTGCACCCAAATTCGTTTTCTTTGTCTAGATTGAAAAAGCCGGGTTTGCATTCTCTACATCTTCTCCCTTCGACGTTTTCCTTGCAGTAGCAAACTCCAGTGTAAGGATCGCAATTTGGTTCGTTGTTTACAGAGCCGGCTTCCGAACATCCGCAACTTTTGCATCCGGTGGCGCTAAACTCGTAATGGTTGACAGCACACCTATCACACTTATCTCCGGTGACTCCAGATTTGCATTGGCATTTCCCCTCGGAGTTGCACTGGAGGCTCCTGGAGCCTTTTTCATTGCATTCACACGCGATACAATAGCCATCCTCACGCATGTAGTAATTTTCTCGGCAGCGTTCGCAGTTGGGACCGTCTCGGTTAGCTGTGCAGTCCAAGCAGTGGCCTCCGTGTCCGGTCAATCGGTACAATTCTTCGTCGTAGTAGCATCTATTAGAAAACCCGTTGCAATTGCATTCTGCAAATAAATAAGATCATGTTTTAATCGATTAGCGGAAAGGTCTACTATCGAAATGAAGATCTACCGGAATAATGGAGCAATTTAAGATAATACGTCTAGGTTAATAAATGGGCGTTCTTGGGCCTTATGTTTATGACGAAGTTTGAGACAGGTACACGCTCTGTGTCTTGGCGGAATTGAAACATTATTGCGTGGGCCACACAGCCGTGGGAGCGGCTCCAGACGTGATGGGCCATCCTGGGTCCGCCCAACGCATCCAATAAGTGCTTAACCCATTTACCACATTAATAATCTACAAGATATAAAAACAAAGTTTTGCTTTAACCGTGATTTATTAAAGTCGTTGCACCAAAATGGGACATCGACGGTTGCTGTATCAGACCATGCTAATTATACAAATGTATACATAAATATATCTGTGTATTAGATCCACTAACAGGTCATCATGCTGAGAGAGATCAGGACCGCTCGAGTAAAAAGTGTCGTGCTGGGATCATTTATTACAAATGTCTAGAACTATCTCAAGACGAAAGCTAGTATCGTAGAAATGATAGGAAAACCGTGTCTACAAATATCGAGCATGTGTAGATTCATCGCGATTATCAGTAGCGATATAAAGTATAGAGTTAAAACAATAGAGTAGTTCGTGCAGAAGCAAAGACAAAAGCTCAAAGTAGACCAGACAAACCTCACTAATTCGTCCTAACTTTTGAATTTTAAAAGATAAGTGTTTACAACCTAAAAAAAGTCGATTAACATAATTTCTGTTAAAAAACCCCAAAGTTTATTTTGAAAAGAAAATGTTAAAACTTCGTACTAGTGCTTCTGTTATTCTCATTGTGTGGGGAAGTTTCTTGAATTTTATAATAAAGTGATTGAAAAGGATTTTTGAAACAAAATGCTACAATTCTTTGAATTTTTTCTTTATTTTATTAAAAAGTATAGCATTGTGAACACGCAAAGATTACCTTTATAGAAATGCATAATTGGTTTTTAATAATTATGCAGAATATCAAAATAATTTTGCCTAGAAATATGTCAAGTCAATTTACCACGAGTGGAAAATTGACGAGAAATATTAATTTCTTCTTGGCAAATCGTTTTGACAAAAACATTTTATCAGGTTAGCACCCGAGATATTCGGCATGATTATTTCCTGAATAAATAAGAAATTTTGGAACAAGTTATTTATTATTTTGTACTTATCTAAATTGGACCAATTAAAAAGAAATTTTAGAAATTCAAAAGCGATTAAATTGTGCCACATTTTTAACCACGGCAAAATTTTGACATTTGCAAATTATCGCTGAAAAATGGGCAGAAACCATAATTATTATAATTGTTTAATTGTATGAAGGAAATAATCACTAGGTATAAACTAATTTCATTGATCCCAATTTGAAAAATTCTCTAATTTGATTGGTTAAAAATGTTTATGTTGGATTGTCATAGCAAATACACATCTTAAGTTTTTTTTTTCCCAACAGACCAATGCTAAACAAAACTAATTTTAAAAGTCAAAATACAATTTTTTGAAAAAAATCAAAACAAGCTAGTCGTAACCTTAGCATTAAAGCAACATTGATTGCTTTATGTCCCAATTTGAACAATGATAATTTGATAACATGATAACAAACAAAATCTAGTATCAGCTTTAAATAAAAGAAAGTTGTCTTTACAATTTACAAAGAGTGCAAAAAAACGTCCCCATAAATATTTATCTCGTTACCTTTCAAATCCGGGTATTTATTTGAATCATTACTATCTTAGATTTATTAATTTTGCCACCATCATTGCTGTTAATTTGTAAATAATACTTTGTATTTCCGTCCCTATGGTGAACGACATAGTCCGTAAAATACACAGTACTTTTTGGAACTCATGTCATTAATTAAAGTAAAGTTGATAAAAGTAATACTAACAAGATGGTCCATAAAGTGTGTATATTGGTAGTTTTCCAAATTTTTCAAAATAAGCAATCGGAAAAAACGACTCAGAAATACTTAAATATTTTTTACACTGATATTATGTCTATCGACTCGAAGAATAAACTGCATATTCGTGACAAAAAAATTCAACTTTAGTGCCTTGTTATGCAAATAATTATTCTTACGTTTGGTAAATATTATTTTATGTGCATCCTTTTTTAATTTAGTCCTCAGAATTAGTCTTTAGAACAATCTAATTTCTCAGTACCTTGATTCTACAAATTAAATCCATTAGAAAAAAAACAGTGACGTAGAAAACATCCAATCATCTAGCCTAACAACCCACAAAACGATCTTCTGATTATCGATAAGACGCATTTTCTGATTTCTCCATTTCACACTTTGTGTAACATACCCGAAGGAGGCTGTTAATACCGACCACCGTTAGTTATCTATCCTGCACTGATTGACAGCAATGGTTAATTCCAAATGCATTTTCAGGTGTGGCAGGTCGTCAACTTTTATCAGACTTGACTTAATACCCGCATCGGCAATAATACCAACTTGGTAATTTAATCTTGTACAATTCGTTAACAAAATGTACGAAGTCCCCCAAAACTTTTGACGCCATATCGCAACAAAAGTACAAATCTAACTCGCGTAGGAGAATCGCTCGCTGATGGTAAGAGCGACTCCGCAGAGACTTTAACGATCGCGCAAGTCGCCGGTCTTATAAGGTATAGGTTCCAAAAAGCGACATCATTAGCGTGGTGAAATGCGAAAAGCCATACCAAGAAGAATGTAGCGAACAATGATCGGCGCTAGCTACCGCATGCATGTAACAAGCTGAGTTCTCATGGTTAGAAGCAACGGCCTGTCAATGACTCGTCACATGTCTTTCTAACTGTCAATTAACGACGAATTAGTCGCTGATTTGCTCCCGAAATCGCCCAGGATGGGTCCCGATTGGTAAACGGGTCACGTCTCCGAAACCAAATGAGCTGACCATTTTTAAATTCGTCGCTGTTTAAGGAGAAAATAGATGAAATGCGGCGCCTCGAGTCTGACGATTCGGTAAATAAATCGTGGGTTTGATCGGTTGTGACGTCTGATGGTCTTATATGGATCACGGTTCTCGTGTAGCCCATTGTTCAATTGTAATAATAGAGCCGAATGTTTGACTTACGTGAGCCCGAAAACCAGGGCTTGAGGCCGTCCCATTGGGTGCTTTCGGCTTCTTTGACTACTGGAAGCGCCAAAAGAATCAGCAGGAATTGCCGGGCCATTTCGCAACACTTTTACATCACTCTGGTTTTATTTTACATTCATTTTCATGCTAATTGACTTACTCATTCAGAGCGATTTTTTACCATTTTGATAACTGTTCATGTCACCTGCCAAGAACGCTATTACACACTTCAGGTATTTAAATTAGCCGGTTTATATTAATTTATAACCAGATTAAATGATTTCATTTAGTAATCCCGGCATTATTTTTTAATAGACCACCATCACAAATTTTGCATTTTTTGCCACCTATTATTTGTCACAAAGTTGCAAGTGTTATCACTCAACATCAAAGATTGAGAAGTGCTCTAAAGCACGCGATCGACGTGAACACGACAGCCGACAAACACTGACTCACTGAGCCGCGGTCCTCCGACTAGTCTTTGGTGCGCTCACCATCAATATGTCACCTCTGTCTTAAGTAATAAGCGCACCATTTAACTCATTGTGCTGCTGATTTTTTGAGTGAATGACAGCTCAATAGGCGGCCGCTTAACGCGCCTCTTCAATTACACTGCAGAATCTGCTTAGCCTTCATTTTAAATTAAAACCGTTCTAAATTTCTTCTTCCACAGGATGCTTCATAATTCCAATCGTTCTGATCATTTAAATTTCAAATCAGGACCTACACTATTTGGTCGCCACTGTACTAAACGAGTATTTGCTCCTCCCCCATTGTGGCAACTTTTCAATTATTGAAATTTGATTGATTGCACTGTAGTGTAGCAAATATCGCATTTCCTGAAGAGTTATTTGAACATCAGAAAAACCCATTTCAATAAATGCCCATGATATCCTATTTCAAGTTATTAATTTCCTTTCAAAATTTACAGTTAGTAGTCTGATTAAAACTTAAATGTTTGCGATTTTCTTCCTGCAATACCTGCATATTTTAAATGTTTATATTGAGGATTGAGTACTGAGTAATTTTTTATGAATGGGATATAAAAACATTGACAAATGTGTTTAAGACAGAACATGATGTTATTACCGCTATATTGCTACCTGCTGATAATTAATGAAGAACCATTTAAAAGTTTGTATTATGTAATGGAAAACTTATGCAATTCATTCGAATAATCAGGATATTATTACAAAGACATTCACGTTCTGTTTTGTATGCTAAGAATGTACCATGTCTGAGGAAGTGATTTTTTCATATATGATTTACAATTCATATAAGATATAATTCTTAAAAAAAAATTGATTAACCAGTACATTTTATATTTACGAGTATTTAGAGAAAAATATACGTATTTATTTAATACAATATTTAATATTTAAAGACAATTTTTTACTGAAGCTTTTATTAAATTTAAAAAAATATATGTTATCTAATAACTCTCAATAAAAATTTGAAACTGGCTATTTATTCTCCCATTGTTTCAGAAAAATATTGACATTCCTTTCTTTTAAAATCATTTGTAATGTCAAAGATACCTAAATTTTCTATTACATGATCATCTAATTGATTTCCCACTCTTAAATTAATCCAAAGTTAAGCTATTTCAGAGAAATTGTCTAAGATAATGATCTAAATGATAAAACATTCCGCATATATGTTTTTTAATTTAATAATACATATTATTTTTAACCACTTTCGTACTTTTTACTCCTTTCAACTAGTAAAAGTACGACAAATTGTATTAACAAAACTAATAATACCTACTAATAAAACTAATAATATTACCAATTACTACGAAATATAGTTTTCCTAACAATATATCAGAGTTTCCATAGACTTATGTCTGAAAATGTTTCATTTAAAGAACACAATTTTAGGTAGAACAAGTATTTTAAGTGTCAAAATATTACTCCAAATAAAAAAATTTTAAATTTTTTTTCTACCGGTTTTTAGATTATTGAAAAAAAATCTATTCGCCATTTGCAGAAAGTTTTAGCTTCCTAAAGAAGCCTTTCCTGTCCTTTTTGTTCTTCCATAAGAACTTGCTATATTTATTAATTTATTCATATATTTTTTTTTCATTTATAAATCTTTTAATGTTTTTCTGGACAACCTGTGTGAGAATAAATCGTTTTTACGCGTAATTCTATGCTCTCAAGTCCAGTTTATTATGTTGATTTTATTGCTTCAAAGAGGTAAATCTTGATGATTAATTTTTTTATTTTTTGGTTGTATACGAATTGAAAATAGTAAATTATACTTATGTGTACCTAATTCTTATAATATCGATGTAAAATTACGACAAGTTCAATTTCGAAATATCCTCTTCAGACACCCAAAAATTCAAGAAATGCTTTTAGTATAATTGAGAAAGTTTTTAGTTAGGAAATGCATTAGTTTGCATTACTGTACTATAATATAGTCAAATCCATAAAACGACAATCTTATCTTTGATTTAAAAGTGTCAGTGTATTATAACTAAAATTCATTATAAAAGCATTAATGTCAATAAAGCTTCACAGTTAACTTATTTTAGAGATTTATCTAATCACAAGAGTCCAATAAGTGAAAGCGTAAGCTATCGATGGATTTCAAAGTTGAGCCTGCAATTAACTGTGGTTAAATGTAAAACTGCTTGAGGTTTTTTCGCAAAGTGCGTTAAAACTTGTACATCCATAAACAAAATTCCTTTCCTTTTTTGAAGATCAAAGGAGGAATAAAATTTAAGCTCAGACAGGCCCTCTTATCTGATGTATTTTCCCTCTTTAGCGTAAACACCGAAAAAATTAAAGAAAAACAGTGAAATCAATGAAATTCAATTCACTTGCTTTCATTCCCGATCCATACTTAAACGTCGGCTTGCGGTAAGTGCATCGTGCTCCAACAATTCATGTCAATTAAAAGCCGCCAATAAATTCAATTTATTTAAACTCTCGCATAATTAGCAGTCAGATAAAAGAGGCAATTAGTACGATTTGTAGCCTTTTAAAGTCGATATTGGCGGTATTGTTGTGGTAATATGGCTTCAGCGAGCAGACCGTTCACCTTTCTGTTTATGGAGAAGACCTGGAGCAAGTAGTAATCGAACTTTTCGCTTCTATACAACCGAACTTAACACACGTCTTCGCCGCCGAGAAAATTATTGCCGGGATACTTCATTTGGAAGCTTCGACAAAAGCAAAACTTGATTGAAGTACAATATGATGGCTTTACTGCCGCTCAACCTGTGAGGTTTATGCTTTTTTTATTGCTGAAGATGCTGTTAAACGAAGGAAATTCACCTGATGAAAGAGGTCTTCAGGTGCTCGGGCGATAATAGCGCAGTTAAAAAGTGTGCTGATAATGGTAAGAACACAGCTTTAATGGTTACCGAGTCAAATTGCTTTATGACCACCGTAAAAATATGCCCTCGTCGGCGCCATTACCAGGTAGTTTTACATCGGAAACTGGGGTGAATATTAGAAAACAGACATACCGATGGCAAATCTCAATCCGGTTCTGTCTCGTGTAATTGGGATCAGACAATAATTGCGAGCAATTATAATTAGATATTAGCGGTAATTACGTTGCTTTTTACCTCTAATGAGAGAAAAATGACTACTTACGTTTACATTCATGTGCATCTCGAGCAGTAGCTCGCTTCCACGGAGCATCATTATAGAACGGTAAGCATTCATTACAGTCCGGGCCGGCTGTATTGTGTTCGCATTTACACACCCTCCTTCTGGAGCTGTCGACTCCGGTGGAAGTGATGCATTCGGAAGCATGGCCGTTGCATTTGCATCTGGCACCTACAGCAACGTCGGCGATTGCGTAAAAATAGGAGCGCAAGACTTGCTGGTCACCGAAGACTTCGTCGCCGAAGGTGTTGAGACGGTCGAGGACGATCATAATGTCTGTAGCTGTCACCCATTCCTGAAATATGGGACAATTTACCTATTTTTTCTAAGAAAAAAAACTAAACATGCTAGGCCTTTTTATAAATCAACCATCAGCAACTGAAACTATTAGACAATGAAATAAAGGGCAGTGCTGGAGTCATCTGTGACAACTAAATAATCTCGCTAGTTTATGCCTAGTGCGGGATAACTTGAATATCTACAACCTTAGGGCGTGTTGGATACATCATAGAAATAAATAAAAATATAAATAGAGAATGGGCTGAAGGCAGTTGTGTCAATATTTGAATATGCATGTGTATGCAAAGAATGTAAAATGATATGCTAGATACACCTTCGAGCACATTAAATTGAGTCTATGTTAAAATAATTAATTGTACGTATAGGTTTCTGAGCACTTTGGTGTTGGGTTTAAATCAGTCACGATTTTTATATGCACGAAAATCTCTACCGATCGAAATTATCTTATCAAATAAGAGAATTTTACAGACAATGATTACGTACCTACAAGGGAAAAGCGATTAAGATGTTAGAGATTATTGTAAAACCTTATAATTAAGTTTCGTTAAAGCGATTTATCGCAATTAAGGCTAGTTTGTTTTATTTTTACAGAATTATACAGACAGACATGAATTTAAATGCTGAAAATAATTGGCAAAACTGTTTCGTTGCAACGACATTACTGAACATAAAAAACAAATAATTAGATAAAAAACAGTACTGCAATGAATTTATTTTATTATATTTATTATAATATTTGTAAAGAGAATGCATTTTTAATGTGGTAATTAATGTTTTTTGTTTGAGTCACAGTTAAACCTAAAAATTAACTTTTGAGGTCGGTATCATTTATATGACTTTCAAAGGTAAAACAGGCCATAAAAACTATGATTTTCATAAATCTAAGCAGGAAATTAGGTGTCTCGTAAAGTTTTTAATAAACTGTTTTTATTTGTATCTCAAATTTCAGATTAACAACTCAATAGTGAACACCTGAATCTAATCTGTGTAAGAAAGGAAGGAAATAAAATGTAAAAGTTGATTGTCATTACATTTTTCTAACATGATTTATAAACAAAATGTCGGGGTAGAATCCTGAGTAATTTTATTCAATGTTCATAGTTCTAAATTCACACTCTTTATGATTATTAATTTTCCTTATTTTAAAAATTTTCTTCAACTCGATAAGAAAATGAAAAACCCTCAAATCCACCGTTATTGTTTTATGAGTAATAACTTATAATTTGTATGATAAAACTAAAAATTATATCCATATGTACAGTATGTTTTGAGTTTACAAGAAGAAAAAAATGTATCTTTTGCTTCACCTAAAACGAGCAAATCTGTAACTAAAACTTCATTATTCTAACTCAGTAGACAAAAAACTTCGTTCTCTCTTGATTTTGAACTTAATTTTTCTTTTTGCGTTGGCAGTTCTATTTTTTTGATAACAATGTCTCTTTGACAATTAATTAATTAAAAAATGTTGTTAAAAGTGACTTATTTATGTATCTTAAAGCTGTTTCTTGAGTGGACATTTATTAAAATTATATTTTTCACAAACAGTTTTGTTATTTAACTTGCGTAAATGCATTTGTTAAAATGATATCGTTGTCAAAAAAATGTGATGGTATTTAAAAAGTAAAGAAAAATATTTAATGAAAGTCCAAAATTAAGAGAAAAATTAACTTTTCTTTGCTCTGAGTCGAGATAATGAAGTTTTAATTACAGATTTGCTCGTTGCAGATGAATCAAAATGTTTTTCCTTTGCAGTTTTGGCGTAAAATCAAAAAAAAATTTTCTCTTGTAAACTGTAGATTGAAAAATATGTATTTAATGTATTTATTACATATAAAAGTTGTCCCTTGCATCATAACATAGTTAAAATAATAAATGTTTTTTCCTAACTATTCTAAATTTCAAAACAAACAAAAAATACTTTTCTATATTTTCAGTTTTCTGTAATGTGGTAGAACAACATACAAAGTTCTTTCCTTATGCAACCTCATACTCACGCTAGCATAAGGTCAAGTATACGTACGTATCTTCCAACGATTTTTTCAAAGTATTTTTATTTTAGTTTACTTAAACATAAAAATAAATACCCATTATTTTTTCTTCTTGGAAACAATTCTGAAATTGGATGTTTTCCGGGTAAAATAGCATAATACACCGACACGAACTTGTCACAACACAATAATTTAATAAGCGCATTAAAATGGATATTATCAAGCCTCGAACCTAAACAGCTTTTTGTAAAGGAGTCATGAAACGCCTGGCACAACAATCGATTTCCGTCGATATGACTAAGAAATTTTTTTCTTTCACAAGCCTCATAATGAGTGCTTTACGTCTGAAACCTTCCCTGGATCAACAATCCAAGCACTAGACTTAATTAGTTTGCATTCCAAGCAGGAAAAGTAAATAGAAGCAGGAAACATCACTAAGCTAACAATAAACATCGCGTGCTGCGGGTGTGTGACTCTCCGACGCGCGTCTTCAAAGCTCCATTCCACGATTAGACACCATCGCCGCCGCCGCAATCCCATCGACATGTTTCAAAACAAAATTCATTTGTCAGACGTCAATCAACCTTATCAAAATTCGAAAAAAATGGATGACGATGACCAATTCGTGCCCGACGATGTGAGCAAAATCGTTAAAGACACCGTCGAGGGTCTGCTCACGGGGACCACATACGAGACTGAAAAGGTGAATCAGTGGAGTGCCAGGGTCTCTGAACAGTGTCTCAGTGCTTTGAGTAAGTTGAAGAAGAATTTCAAATACGTGGTGACTTGCTCCATCATGCAGAAGACAGGGGCTGGCTTGCACACCGCCAGTTCCTGCTATTGGGATAGCACCACGGATGGCACGTGTACGGTCAGGTGGGAGAACAAGACCATGTATTGCATTGTAACCGTTTTTGGACTCGCGATTTAAATGTTGTGTAAAGGAGCGAAATTTGGGAGTGAACACTTTTAGAGACTTTTATTCTTTACAACAAATATATTGTTCTACTTATTACTACATTTGTAAAAATAAAATCATATATTGAAACATTTTGCCAATTTTATAAGGTGTATCCTCCTGTGGGTCATCTACAGTCTCCTTTATTTTTTTATAAACAGGAAATATTCAAATGAGAAGACATTTATTTTAAACACGATGTTGTTCAAGTTATTCTAGAAAAAGTGTTATTAAGTATACTCGTACATTATTTGGTCAATTTAAGTACATAGATTATAAAAAGATATTGGATTATTTAATTTTATTCTTAAAAGATTCCTTTGTAAAGGTCAGCATAAATGATGCAAAATAAATTTAGCCCTAAATGGATTTGGCTTTAATATGTTCAGCAATCATTCATTACTACAAATAAACTTTGTGACAATCAACCAGTTTTCAGTCGCTTAAATATGAGCATTGTTTTATACAATACTTTTACTATTAAAAATTTCAAAATATTTTTAAAGAAACTTTTACAAATTGTAAAGTTCAAGATTTCAGTATCTACAATACTTCGTGAAACACGGTGTATAACTATAGTTATTAATTCTATTAATTTCGAGATTTTTTTCATTAAATACTCGTAGCAGGTATTATGTATTTTGAAACTTTAGATAATCTAGTATTACTTTTTAATTTTTTTATTAAAAAATGATCGGAGTATGTTTTTTATTTCCACCAATCGCTTCAAAATAAATAATGCAAATTTAGAATTCAAACTAAAACAGTATTATTTATCAATGAAACATTGTATACCACCAGCAATACACCAAAGCTTTCACAAACGACTCTCTCTCTTCTGTGCTTCTGTGTATTTAACACAGCGAAACAGAAACGAACCATTTAAAACATTTAACATCAATTGCAATGTTAACTTCATTTATAAAATATAAAAACAAATTATTAATGTAAAAATTGACAAATAAATAATTACAAAAATTATTATTTTCATAAGCCAGTTACCAAATATTAGTTTTAAGTAATATATGCAAATTTAACATCTTAATTATTACAAAAAAAAATATTTTAGCAAACCTAATTTAAATAAATAATTAATTATAATCTATATAAAATAAATAACACCAATACATGAACTATTTAGAAGCCCAAAATAGGTAGAGGTGCAGCTGCAACCAAGAATACACATTAAAGGCTGGTTTTAAAAACAAGTTATACAGAATGTTCCGTTTTTATTGTTACAAATTTAAACAGGAGATAGAATATTCAATTTTAAGTCAAAAGTTTCCTATAAACTTGTATCGAAAAATGCTACGCTGTACACGGAGCTGTACACCGCCAAAGGGGTGCTTTTATTAATGGAGTTTTTCCAATATTTCCGAAACCCTTTTACATAAAATTACAAAATTACAAAGTTTTTTTTGCGATTTTCCGATACAGCGATTTTGAGTAAAATCGGTTTTAAAATTTATGCATAAACAGCATAAAAATTAAAAATTGAATTCGTTTTTTTGAAAACTTTATGTAATACTTAATAGTTTGATGTTTTGATGTCGAAACGGGTAAAAAATTAGGGGTTTCCATTTTAAAAAAATGTGGATGACGTTATTACTTAAAAATCAAAAAGTGTAACATTTTAAATCAAGTTGAGAATTGTGTATTTTTTTTAAATTGACCTATTTGAGCATTTTTGCCAAAACAAAATATTTTCAGTTTTAATAAGATAATTCCATAATTTTGTCGCTCAGGGTATAATAACATAATTTAAATAAACAAGTCATTATTTAAACTTCAATTAAAAATTTCTGTTCTACTCAATTTTGTGAAAAAATTAAAAAAGTACGAGTACTAAAATGAGTAAAATGACACATTCTTAATGAATCACTATTTTGCGTGACTCCACTTGAGCGCAAAATCGTCTTAATTTATGTAAATTACCAAAAAACACCAGCTGGGTGGCCCAATTAGCCCAGACCATCACTGGTCTCGTCCCAGTGAAAAACTCTTTCCACAGCATCCGCTAGATCGTCTTCCATACAATTGCTTCTAATAGATTTGGACGCATAATAACAGGGCATTTACCGACATTAACCGCGAGGTAATAATAATGATTTACCTGAAGTTCAGGACTAGCTTCGAAATTGTAAGCAGATGGCCTGCCTTCCAGCGTAGAAAAGGCAACGTTTCCACCACGCAGGGGCGAAATATCCGAATATTCGGACGTGCAAAGTGCCCTTGTTTCTTCTCCTCGTGTTGTGTGCTGAGTGTCCGGAAGACCATAGGTGTCTCGGCACGACGCACTAGAATAAAAGATGAATAATTGTCACACGAAAAAAAGGAGGATAATAAATTTGAGGTGGAAAATGATTAGAGGAAATGAACGCATCACGTGACTGGTGCAAATATAATTTGTACAAAGCGAAAGCTGAACCATAAATTTGAGACGAGAAATCTCTTTTGTCATATTGAGAAAATGTTTAATTGAAGTTTTTTTTTGTATAAATATGTTTAGCTATTGTATAAAATATTCCTACTCTAAGGCATAATTGAACATAAAATAGCAAATACTTAAGATGGCAGAACGGCAATAAGGCATAAAGCCAATTAGACAGAGACTTAACTAACAATGTAAGATTTTTACAAAAATGTAAATGGACTCATAAAGATAACTGCGGTAGCATAGCTAGGAATGTAAAAGCAAAACAAGTACCCAAGTCCTCTTAACAAAGGAATGAAACTCCATGTAGATAATTAAATAAAAAACCAATTATGAATAATTTTTTTATTACTATTGTTTACTTACCTGTAATATTGGTAGGGAATCCAGCTTGCATTCTCCGCCGTTTTTTTGAAAATGGAAAAACTCTCAGGCCTCGGCGAATAGAACCACAGTCTCACGTACGTAATATCAAACGCTTTCCCTAAAAGAAAATGAAAATTTTTATCAAACTGAATAGTAATTTCATCAATGGGTTGTTTGTTCATCCGCAATAGTGAGAGGAAGATCCTGATTTGTTCGACACCCACATAGTCGATAGTAGCAGAAAACAGCAGGAAACATAAATCAGAATCTCGTTTTTGATCGACCAGACATACGTGGGCTTAAATGAGTCTCGTAATGGATGTTGAATTGTTTGTATTTATTTCTAATAAATCGCACTTTCTTACAACTACCTTTGTTAGAGATAAGATGGTGATGTATGGCATTGCAATCCATGTTACTGAATCGCTGACATTTCAGGTTTCAGGAACAGCGGCGTACAATTTTTACCAGAATGACAGGAATCATCGCAAGCGAAACGCGTGGATTGTTAGTCTCTTTTATTGAAACAAATTCTTATATGTTTTACATAGAATGAGTAATTTACTGCTCATATTAATTGTATGACAATTACAAAACGCAAAATTTTAATATAGTGGCGGACACGGAATTTTGGACATCAAATCTATGTCAGTTCAAAAAATGTCAATGTAAGCCAGGCTTTATTGACATTATGAGTGACATTTGAAACTAAAATTAGAAAGTTTTAGTTGAAATTTATTTTTGGCATCAATTTTCTGAAACAATAATGTCAGCAATACGTGTTTTTATACTTATAAGTTCAATAAATTATTTTGATTTGTTGTCATTTTTTCTCTAGCTATCTGCATAGAAATTACAAAAACCGAAAGTGAGGTTAATTGCCTAATAGAGATGTCTGATACGAGACTAATTTCAGTACTGAATTTAGTACTGAAATTGCGCGCGCAATTTTAGTTAAGAAAATAGAGCCTGTTCTAATTTCTTGGATGAAAGCTTGCTAAAACTGCGCACTAAAAATGCGCATTAACAAAAAGCGTAAATTTAAAATATGTATTCGAATGTAAAAACAGAAATATTATAACTAAGACGCTGTACGAGCTTTTGTCTAAAACGAGAAAAATGTTCAAAGGTAATTTTTTAAAATTGTGTTAATTAATTTATTATTATTAATTCTCCCACAATATTATAAATTTTAAAAATCAACAATTTATTGCAGAAAATCTGTTATTATTTGTTATTGTTTTCAAATCAATAGTTTATCTTCAAAATGCATTTTCTATTAATTATTTACTTTAATATCTAATTTTTAATTTTGTAAAATAAAGAGTAATATTGCAGAATTGGTCAACTAAAATATGAAAAATGTAACAAAGAAAAAATATAACAAAATATCACAAATTTTAAATTAACTAACCTCCCTCAACATTTTTTAAATAGTTTCCTCAATTGAATAGAATTTCAGATACATGTTAGATAACAGAACTCCAAAATATTTATTTTTTAAAGCTAACTAATGGAGTTTTTTTAATACCAGACATTAAACTACAATTCCATTTAGCCTATTTCAACGTTCAAAAACGGTTGGAGATAAAAATCTCTTGAACATTCTCTTCAAGAAAATTTTATTCTCTACAACCCCTTGATTGTATTTGTTGTAAATCTAACGTTTTTCAATCTTTTTAATTAAAGACAATTATTCGCAAATGTTAAACTTGGCTTTAAATTTTATATAACTCATTTAAGAATACTTTTAGAAATATCTGTAATATTTTTTCAGGATTGTAGGGAATTGAATGTCAATCAATTTTTATGTCAATCGAATGACAAATCGTTTAAAATTCCGTGTCCACCAGTGTACCATGTGTTTTTAAAAAATAGATTTGCAAAAAACAATCACAATTATGTTTTATTATTCACAATAACTATAGGAAAATTTCGTTTCCCAACCTTTTAGATGTAAAAAAATTTTCACGAGTGGAAATGACAGATATCACTTCCATCTCTTACATCAACTTTGTTAGAAAAACGTACATATTTTATCATATTTGATTGTGTAAATGTGATCTACGATCTACATCCTCGTGTTTGGTGATATATCCTAAGCTCTCAGCGTAACGACATATTTCCCACGTTGGTTGTAATACACTATTTAACATTTCTATTAAAATGAATTAACTTACAATGTTATTCAAAATAGTAGATACAGTAAAAAGTAAAGAATTAATTGCAAACATTTTTTCAAAGAAATAATTAAACAATAATTGTAATTTCTTTTGAGAATTCCAAATATCCAAATATGAGCAAATTTGAAAAAGACAATTTTCGTTATTTTTCTAAGTATGTGAAGCCATGTATTAGTGCTCAGCACAACACATACATAACTATTGTTTTATGATCACGAGTTATGTTTTATGAGTGATTGTGCATTTAGCGGATACGCCACTGGTGGTTGAGTCGATCCCGCCAAAGTTCGCGTGAGAAAATACCATCGCGGCTTTCTCGACATCGCTTTTTGGCGTAATAAAAGTCGAAAATTTCAAATTACAATCCGCGGATGAACCGATAAAAATGTAGACGACAAAAGTCAGCGGCTTCCTTTTACGGTCAACGCATTCGTCGCGTGCCAAGCGCCAGCGACTAAAAACCATGGAAATGTTAAACGAAAGAACTGCTGCTTGTCGTCTGCACGTCATCACGAACGGCGCTATATGACGGCCGCACAAATTATATGGACATTCACTACATATTTATGGCCCATTTTAAATTCTTGAATGTCTGTTATGGTTATGCTTCCGTATAAGGGAACACGCCGTGGCACAAAACAAAAGACGGCTCATTGTTTGGTTTATAAGGCCAAGAGAGTATGAATAAAGAGCGCTACCGACTTCCTTCTGGTCCATTGACGGTGGGAAACCAAAATGACATATCTCCACAAGTGCCACATGTGTCCCTTTCAGGACCGATTCTTACCCAGTTTAAGCGTTAAATTCACTTGATTAGGGAACTGTATCCCCTCGAACATGGTCTCGGACTGCCACCACGTGGGCTGGTCCTGGTTGTGGAAGTCAGTGAGGTATCTCGCTTGGTGGTCGTTGGTGTAGCAAACTTCGCAAGATTTCCTAAGACCTGTCACTCCCGATTGAACACAATATTCCGTTTTGCCATGGTCTCCACACGTATTCGTCGCCTCCATTAAAACGTTGAAAGCTGCATTCTCGAATTCAGGTATACACCTCTGGAAATAAAATCGATGTTAGCCATCATCATTACAGTCAGATTTAACAACTCGAAATGAATAAAAGTTTGGTTAGAACCCCGAGAGGACTAAATGCCTCATTAAAGAAGAGTAGCTATCTGGAAGATTTGATCTCGTAAAGGCATCACTGTGATATGTCGTTACTGATTTAATAAAATAAAATGGTTTTTAACTGTTAGAATGTTATCTGACAGCTCGACTACCGCGTCTGCATTATTACATTTGAGTTCGGTATTCAAATCTTTGTGTGGTATGTAAATGTCTACAGTTTCTAACTGTGGAGAAATGCTGACTTAAATAACATCAGATAGTAACAGATGCAAGAAAGGTAAGTACTCGCACATCATGTAAGGACCTTAATTCGGTCATTAAACTACAATTATTGCGTATTTGAGAAAATGACAAGCGATAATCAATACTAATTTTTAATTTAAGCAGAACTAATAATGCTAAAAAGAGCTAACCACTGCTTAAATTAAATTTGCACCTTTGGAAACATTTATTTCGAAAGAATGTAACAGCTTATTTCAATGCAAAGACTATTTATATTCGCAAAAATATTTACGCAAATTCTTTAATTTCAGATCTCCTGATCCACACCCATAAAGTTTCTATTTAAAATTGTTTCCCGACATGCTTTCAATTCTATTAATAAATAATCACTGAATGTGAACTAATGAACTCTCATAAATGTCTGTAACGTAAACTTCGTAACTGCTGGGCGCAATACCTCCTGTTGAGTTTGCATAAAGATTCTACTCCATAACATGAATTAAATTATTTTTATTATCTCTGAATTTTTCATTGCATATTTGCAGTTAAATGTAATTTATAATAAACGTTGTACAATCGAGACTAGGGCATTTTTCATTACTCAAAAAAATTACCCCTATCGAATCATCAAAAACATTATACAATTTTTTCTGGTTGTTAATATTTCTTTAGTTGCAGAAGACTTTTCCATTGGCTGGTTTAGAATTAGACTAAATGCTCCACCTGCTCAATTCGATCAGTTCATTAGCCTAGAACTTGATCTTCCCAAGCCATAATTCATTACGCCTAACTCTGTAGCAATTTGCTCCAGTGAAACGGTCGTGGGTGAGTCTCCGTCAAAAAAAAATCTGGAGTTCATTCGCTCCATTGCAATTAATAGCTCCTTCACATTAAATTTCGTTACGTTACGTGTAGCTCAAGACTTTCCGTAATTTTGATTTGTGTTGGCTGCCAACATTTCCATGTATTTATAGATTTAACGTTCGAAACAAGTCTGTTTTACAGCAGGAACAATCGCTAACACATCTGTCCCATAAACAGACGCAGATTTAAATATCCCCGGTCTCTTTGAAAGCCGATGCTTTACCTTATTCGAAAGCCTCCTTTTCCAGAGACAAGCCGGAATTTATTCAGCTTGAAGCCTACATGTCTTATTTAATCAAGTGATAAGGAAAAATCAGTGACAATGACTGGTCAACTTTCCTCCTATTACAGTCCTGTTCACTCTAAAATTAAATTTGAAGCTGTGGTTATTTTCAGTTACCTTGACTTTATAGAGCGGCCGAAAACATGGTCGCTTTAATAAGCATTGCAATGCCTCTGCAAGCCGAGAAAAACTGTAAGTTACCTCAAACATTTTCCAGGAATTTCCAATTAAACTTTCTCCAGGCCGCACAAGTGGGCGTCACAAGTGAAGCGAGTTTTATGAAAGGAATTACATTTTAAGGTCTGCTAAACAAAACTCAAACAAGAATTAAGTCAAGGAAAAGCCGCTGCTTTTTTAAACTGGAGTCTATTCTTTTTCTTAACTGTGCCACATCTGGTACTAAAACCGTGAGATCCGGATGGAAATGTTGTCTGTTCATTCATGAATCCGCAGGATAGTAAAATTTTGTTGCGGGCAAGGTCGTTGACTTAAATTTTGTTTGTTTAACATTTAACTTTACATACTTAACGAAAACAGCCGATCGAGACGATTAAGACCAATAAACTTTGTTAAAAAGAGAGTCAATTAATCAGCTGAGAGGCTAGACCAAAGTCATCGTGATGCTGTTGAAACTCACAAAAAAGCATTTTGATATTCTTCACAAAATAAAAATTAAGTAGCAGTGGACACTTTGGTGTTGGTGAAGTTTACCACATTTTTTTTCTACCTTTTGACCACTCTCTCCCTCCATCAAATCTATCGCAAATCCCGGCCTGCTCCGAGCAAATGTCACATCAGAAGAGGTGATCTCGTGCATCTGGTCGATGTGGTAAGAGCTACAGGAATACAGGTGCAGGTCAAAAACCCCTGCACGTGCATACACCTGAATTATTGCTCAATTACCGTACCTGCACTTCGGCATTCACTTGCCTTTTATACCCGACATTCAAACTTTTTTGGGGTCGTTCGCAGACCCTCACTCACCCAACAGGTAGACCCTAATTGCCAAGCATCCCAAGAAATTTATTGTAGGTCTACCTCGAAAACCAACTGAGACTTTGTCAATATAAATTTAAATTAGTCATATTGTTGCCAATACCAGAAATAACAATAAATTATCAAAATATTGTGGAGATAAATTTCGAGAGCAGTGGGGTGCAAAAAGTTAAATCAAAATATTTTTGAGTCGGCCTGCTGGGATGATTAATTTTCAAAATGTCGACAGTGATAAAACTGGTAAATATGTAATAACAATGAATCAGAAAATTACAAAGAAGTTGGTTTTATAATGCTGGGAAAATTGATTAGCTTGAAGCATTTTAAATATTTAGGAGTCTTCTTTGGCTCCGTAGACGTCTAATAAACATGTGAAACCTGTCATCATAAAGCATTAGAATTTAATTGGGCGCATTAACAATAATTTGACTAGATATCTGTCGTTTTCTATTGAGCAATATTTCAATTTATAACTTCAGTCTAGTGTGTAATATTTTTCCCTAATTGATATGTTGAGTCAAAATTTTTGTAGTGTTTGATAGTTGGCAAATTATCAAATATCTTACTAAACATATTTTATGACTTTAAAGAAAATTAAAATTATGAGTTGAGATCAAAGAGAGTATGATAAAACGTGTAAAACAAGCAGTTACTTAGAAGTTTTTTTATTTCGTGTTCGATCACAGAAGTCTCAAATTAATTTTTGATAAGTGTACTTTTTGAGAGTCCGCCTCTGGATTCCATTAACCGTCTCTATTAGCTAACAAGCCGTCTTTCATCGCCGTTAAATCCAGTCACAACAGTGGGTGGGTATATTATTTTAATGGCGGCAAATTAAAAGCTCAGTGAAATGTACAACATGCAATACAGTTGAGACAATAAGTAATTCAAATCTATGTCGGCTGAAAAACTTTAAAGCGACGACAATAAAAGCGAATGACTGGCGTTTTAATGGTACGTCAAACTCCAAGACAGTCTGTCGACTTTAGAAGAGAAAATGAACTCATAAAACCTTTTGTACTACATATCTTAAATATCAAACAGATGTCGGATCTCAACAGCCGTCTTGAAAAAGTTCGAAACGTCTGTCATTCCACGTGGTGAATCCAGGGCCATTTTGGCGGCCGCAAAAATCGCTCCGAGTGCAGTTACGGCCAACTTTAATGAGCCACGAACGAGGAAGAGCCGTGTTGATTAATGGCCCGTTTCCAGGTTCTCTTTGAGGGCGCCGCTGTGCCATTACTCCTTTTGGCGTCTTGGGCTGACTTTCGATGATGCTCGAGCTGATACCAAATTTCATCCAAAGATGGGCAATGTGTGATTTATCTGCATTAATTATTGATTAAGTGCTAGCGGGCGTGTTTGCATGGGCTTAAACTGGAGTTGCAGCATTCTCCACGCCATGCGGTCGTCTTTGTGAAAATGCACATCTGGGGTTCAAGCGCTTTCAGCAATTTGCATGCCAGCGAAAAAGCCCGAGAAAATTGTACCAATCACACGATTACACCTCGACACTAAAAAACAATCAGCACCTGAGCAAATCCAACAGAAAACTGAAGAAAAACTTTACGAGGTGAGTCAAAAAAGTATAGAACCAAACGTCTTTTGCTTAAACTATTTATTTTTTGGAAAAACTAATAGATGAATAATAAAGTACTATAAAAATGTGATGTTTTATCAAGAATAAAATTATTCGAAAATTTCTTTTGTTTTTGAGTTCTACAAAAGTTTTTATTTTTTTTAATGGCTACCCACTATAATAAAACCATTTTTCTCATGAAGTTGATGATCTAAGGATTACAACTATTTTATACAGGGTGATTCTTAAATAGACCGACAAAATTTTATCCTTGGTAGTATCAAATGAGAACATGCTGGAAAAAATATTTAAAAAATTCTTTGTTTAACCGTTCTCCAAATAAAATTTATTAAAGTTATTTTCGAGGTAAAGCGTACGCCACTGATGTGTTCGTAAATAGTATTAACACAGGTAATGGAAACCATGGTATTAATTTGATCAAAATGTACTTGATCAATGCAACAATTTATAAACGCCGTAAGTGGCACGGATCAAGGGGGTTTTGCCCCTAAAAGATATAAACGTAAAAAGGTTACTGTTTGTCTCCATTTATCCTTGGGAAGTTGTGATAAAATTTTGTCGGTCTATTTAAGAATCACCCTGTATTTAATTTTCTCAAAAATTTTTTTTACATAAATTGCAATTTTGACCAAAAAAAATTTACAAAACTCAAAAACTAAACAAAATTTTTTATATTACTTTTGAACAAAAACACGATTAACCCGTCACACCAAACTTTTATTTTAATAGCACAACGCGTTTCGACCACAAAGTGGTCATCCTCAGGTGAGAATAAAACTCTTTGAGAATAAAAAAGTTTGGTGTGACGGGTTAATCGTGTTTTTGTTCATCGTTTCCATACCAAGAAGATCCAAGAAGAAGAAGTATATTACTTTTATTTAGACTGGCCGCCAAAATTAACCGGACAACTAAAATTTTGCAATTTTTTATATTATAAAATTTTTTTTATTCGGATTTCGACGAATTTTTGCAAAACATTGTAATTTAATTCAATAACATTTCTAGTTTTGTCTTGTAAATGTTATACCTAAAAAACGAGAGCACTAATTTTTTGCTTTTTTTATACTGAGCTGTAGTATGCAAGAGAGACAAAATTAAGTTTTTATTTATTTCAGATTATTGCCCGTTCTTTTCTAAATTTGTTTCAAAATTTTATCTTTTGGTGCCCCAGAGATACAAAAGACGTTGTTTTTCTAATGCTACTAAATATTCGTTCAGAAAGTAGGCTACATAAAAATGTAGTTAAACCGAAAATTATTGCTTATGTCACCAAAAGAGCACAATTACGTCTTTGAACACAAAAAATCTGAAAAACTTGGAACTTCAAAGGATTACAACAAGTAAAACGGTTAATTGTTGGAAGCTTCCACTTTCGGCCTACTTAATACGAACATTCATTAAAATCGGAAATGCAAATGTGGTACATAATTCAGAAAAGAATTGGCAATAATCTGAAATCAGTAAAAACTTAAGTTTGTCTCTGGCGCACACCACAGCTCAGTATAAAAATAAGTAAAAAAAACAGTGCCTTCGTCTTTTGAGTATCATCACATTTAGAATACAAAACTAAAAATGTTATTGAATTAAATTACAATGATCTACAAAGTTTTTTCTTTAAGCCAAACAAAAATTCGCCAAAATCTGACAAAGAATAACAAAAATATTTCAATGTGAAAAATCGCAAAATTTTAGTTGTCCGGTTAATTTTGGCGGCCAGTGTATATTAATCATTATTTTCTGGAAGCAAAGGATTAAAAAAAAGCTGCGTTCCATACTTTTTATTCACCCTGTATGTGAGGCGTGTTTCTGCATCTTACAGCAAGCCTGTCACTATTGCTATAAATAATAATAGTATGATTTTTTCTCGGATCCTGATCATATAGTTGATTATTTCTTCTTGCACAGTACCTAAACAGACTGCTGCCGCTTATGTTTTATCAAAACCACTCAAACCGATTCATATAAGCCGTTTATAAATCTGTAAGTATAATTACCGTCCGTTAATTTATTCCTCCACACACGTAATTCTTGTCTGTATGGCTTGATCGATCACTGTAGTAATCCTATAGAATTATGCTTGAATTGAAAGGATTAATTAAAATAAACGCCCGTGGAGGTGTCCATTAATTAAATTATTTAGTTGGCCTCATGCATTGGGTTTCTATTTAAGTTTTGTTTTTTGATTCGTACTGTGCTGGGATGTGAATTCAATTAGAGTCGCCCGCAGGGAAAGTCAGTGGGGTGTTGGCGGATGCGCCTATGAAAACAACTTACCCCAGCTTATAAATTGCCTGAAAAAATAAACGAGCAATTTCCCCACCAGGAATTGATATTTGATAGCCATTGTGGGTCTTACGTCATGTTTTGATATGACATCATTGTGAACATGTGAACACTCAGAATTATGTTAGCAAGTGTTCAAGTGGCATCTGCCTTAATTTATACTGCATTGTGCTTTGAAATCTTTTCTTTGGATCGTCTTCAGCTTTTCTTGGGTTTGGTTAAGCCCCTTTCAGACGTCGCTTCGTGATTTAAGTGTGTTTTTGTAATACACCCATGTACTTAACTTGTCAGATTATAACTCATTTTTAAAGATGTTTTGGAGCTTCTTTATACGCCAACGCGAATTAATGGTAGCAGGTCTTTTCTCACCACGAATTTTGATTTATGTTGAGACGCTGTCTGGTCGTTTGATCCTCCACAATCACATTAGTTCGTTTTTATGCTAAAGCAGGATTGTCAATGTCAATGTCAACATGTTGTCTACCAGTTATCAACACTAATCGGGTTCTGGTGCAATTCATCATTTGCAATTATATTACTGTCATAAATTAATACTGGACTAGCTAACGTCTAAGACAATCATTTATTAATTTAAAACGACTCGACTTGAATAACAACAAGAATAACTCTTCTAAAAGCATAGCAGACGTTCAAACATTTCAAGTATGTACGAACTTAAATGTAAGATTTTATTTAACATAAATGATGAAAATGTAAAAAAACAATATGTCAGGTTTTAAGACATGTGCAAAGTCAGGCCTAAAGGCACTTCCCAACTGCGAATATAATTTACTTTTGATGAATTCATTTGATGGTGGCGCATGGGCCGCCACTGGCATGATGTATGACAGACAATAAATAAGAGATAATATTTAGAAGATTACCAGCAAAGTTAAATAAACTGATGAGGAGGCTACATTATGATTCTCAGGAAAGCCGTTTTGCTATTTTTGAAACTTATCATCGAGAATAATATAAAATCTCGACTAGTAGTTTTGAAAAATGAATTGTTGCAGGTAGATTTATGTAAAATAAATAAGAGAATTTTATCCAGGTCGATCTTATTGAAGCCGCTGTGTTGGGCAATTACAATTTACAAATAACCGCCATAAAGCATCGAAAATGATAGGTAGATATAATTGAAGCTTGTGAATAATTATAACTTTCACTTATTTATTAGTATTGCTTGTTGTATGGTATGAATGAATGGAATCACAATAATTATTATAATGCAACCAAAGTCATTCAAGGCCAGACGACCGAATAAACTCCCACTACTACGACTTACTACAACCACATACATTATAATAAATTAAAAACAGGCCTTTGGGATTTTTAATTCAAAATAAAAGAGATATTCGTTTGAATGGCAAACTGGAGATTACCGATAAGAGGCAAAACGATTTGTTTAAACACACTTATGCTTATCACAAAATTGGCTTGTTTTACATGACTGAAGCTAGAAACATTTACTAGTTTTCCCACTAGAAAAAATATGAATAGACGATTGTGAAATAACGTTTGTTGCAATGAATTTCTGTTAGAAACTCCAACAAATGCTGAGTCTGCATTTAGAAAAAAAGATGAGCCACCCATCGTCACGTTTCCGAGAAACTTGCCCTTGGAAACCCAATCTCACAGTTCGTTAAAACATAATGTGGTCATTGGTCACTACAACTGACCAAAAATCGGATTAAACTTGAATTAAATCAACAAATTCTGGTCTTTTGTCGTGTCGTCCAGTTATGTTTCTTAATTTAGACTTTATCTCAAATCCAACATTTACATTCTTTATCAGCACATCAGTAATTTGAACGAGTAACCGAAATGCGCTAAGAAAAAATTAATTAAAAAGTTTAATTAAATTTTATGTGTGTCTGCTTTTCCGGCACCAAATGGCGTAAGCCCGCACCCAGTCCGAGTGAATTATCACCATTCCTAAGAGTGCAGTACAATATCCATATTTATGGAGGTATCACGCGGCCAACAGTCCGCCGACAATCCCTTACCTGAGGCTTATTGAACTTGTCATAGCACCTCGTTCCCTTCCGGCCTATGACCGGCGTGATATCGGCCTCCTGGCCGCCAGCGTGTCCAAAAACGCACAGAACAAACACAGTCAAAGACACCGGGCACCGCATCTTGCATTCACTGAGAAATTTTCAAAAATCCGTTCATAATTGGGCGCCTTTTCACCATTCGAAACGTCTCCTCTCACGCATCATCGACTCTTGGTCACACAACACTACACAGACGCCGCACAGAATGCTCTCCTCGGATGTTGTGTGAGCTCCAGATGCCCGCGGAGACTGAACACTTGTGCGGAGATTACTTTCCGTCTGAACAGGGCTGCATTTAGGAAAATGCCACCCGCCGACACGCTCCCGGAGGGCCCACTTGCAATACAGCCGGCGAAGTTCCGGCCTCAAAACGGGCTTTTATCGATTTCGGGGCTACAGGTGACGAACCCTAATCATCGGTTACAGATTTCTCTGTGCACAAAAGTGACCTTCTGAGAAAAGCCCAAGTCAGTTGTAAAAGCTCTGCGGATTTATGGGTACTCATAAAAAAGTTTTCGGATTTCCTTGAGCCGGCTTTACCAAGTCAGATAAGAAGTTGTATGTGTATCTACAACTTGACAATTGTTCCTTTGGGTCAAGTTAAATGCGGGTCACAGACTTTTATTTTTTGGGCACATGAAGATTTAGTAGAGAAAAGCTGGAGATGATTGTTTTGATAAATTAGTAACTCGAGTTGGATAGTTACAGATCCATTTTGTCTTCAAAAAGAATTTGCAACAAATCATTTCAGAAATATGACATAAAAAGAGAAAGAAGAAAAACAAACAAAAATTATTTTTATTATTACCAATTTAAGATGATATACAAAGCTTAATGTTCCAAAATCACAAAATTATTATACATACAGAGTGATTTTAATAGTTGTGCAAAAAATTTAAGAGGTGATAAGACTGGGGTAAAGAAGTGAACTCAACTTGCCTTTTCCGAATATTTATAGTTTCTGGAATACAGAAGCTGCAACCTCCATTTTAGCATGAAAAAATTTGTCAAAAAAAAGTACTTTTTGCCTCTTTATTTTTTATACCAAGTGAATAAAAAGTACGGAACCAAACGTTCTTTGCTTAAACTATTTATTTTTTGGAAAAACTAATTGATGAATAAAAGTATTCAATTTTTTTTTGTTCTTGAGTTCTACAAAATTTGTTATTTTTTTAAATGGCAACCCAATATAAAACCATTTTTCTCATGGAGGTTATGATTTAAGGATTAGAACTGTCTACTTTATATCTAATTGTTTCAAAATAGTTATTTACTCGACGAGTTTGAGTGTAAATCGGACGGATTATCTCACCGAGTGGGTTATTAAACCACGAGTGTAACGAGTGGTTCATCCACGAGGTGGAATAAAGCGTCCGATTTACACTCAGACGAGTTGAATACAACATTGTATTCTTCGAATTAGACTCAACAAGGCTTAAACTTGCTTTAAATCTGTTAAAAATAATCTGACGTTTTGTATTGAGAAAAGCCAAACAGTTGTCAAAACTTACACGGGAGAAAAACCGTAAATTTTGACAGTGTCGAAGAATAAAAAATTTTTTTCACATAAATTGCAATTTTGAAAAAAAAATTGCATAACTCAAAAACAAAACAAAATTTTGTTCTCAAGATACGATCACATTTCTTATAATACTTTAATTTATATTAGTTATTATTTTCTAGAAGCAAATGATTTAAAAAAAAACCGCTTGGTTCCATACTTTATATTCACCCTGTATAATAACACTTTTTTCTTTTTTGATAGTTTAAGACTACGCGCGAAATTTAAAGATATTCCGCTCTTAAATTTTTTTTTCTCATGCTCATGATTGCTACTAGAGTAGAGTTTTCATTTATTATCCACTAATTTTTATATTCAAAAAAGAAATTATGCAGAAATATTGGTAGCTACGATTTACTCCGCTGTTAGTAAATAAAATTCAAAATTAAGTAATATTAAAACTGAGTGAAATCTTGCCCATTTTAGTTATTTTGCTTTTTATTGCCAAATAAAATGCAAACGTACAAAATACAAAATAAGTATGACGTCCTCTATCTAAGTGAATGGGTAATTATAATTTATACTAAAATGTTATGTAAATATTATGTTTAGTGTAGGTATGTTATAATAAGTTGTAATGACACTTTAAGTACATTTATTTTTACATTCAACATACAAGAAAAAGAAGATAATCATAATCTAGGACGATTAAACCTCTACATACTTCAAGAAGCCATTATTGATTGCTGGAGCATATTATGATAGTTGGACAATTTACGGATTATTTATTATCTGTCTGTTAAAGTGAAAATATTCAAAGACTTAATCAACAAGATATTATCAGAGAAACTAAATGAAAACTTTTGATTTTAATAATGTTTTCGCAAACACGGAATTCCAAACGTACATTCGTATATTGAATAACAAAAATAAAAAGTGTACAAAAGCGAGCTGTCCCAATTAGTCCAAATCACAAATCCCATATCGAACAAGGTCTTCTGTCTTCTGTTTTCCAATCTCCGTAAAAGGTTGTTCCTGTGAACGTCGATTAAGCACCGAGCCAATCATTAGTCAGGCAGTCAAAGTCAGAGAATAGAAGTCGAAGAGCGAGCTTGAATATTGTGGTCCCCGAATCCTTTCGACAGATTACCAGCCAGATTAATTAGTCTGGTAGAACACGTGGCCGTCTGTTCTATTCTAACTCGAAAGTCGTTTCTCTAGCACAGGTACTCTTTAAATAGATTTTATAGACACGTCTGTTGAGGAAATCATTCATATTTATGCCGCCGGGGAGAGTAGGACGATAATGTTTGTAAAATAGCGAATGACTTCATTGACGCTGAAGATTTTGCCATAAAAAATCGCCTACCTACATACGTGAAGACACATTGTTTATAACTAGAAGTCAACCTCGGTGAGATTTATTATTCTTTCAGTTCACGAACGGCTTATCTTAATCGTTTACTATTTTGGAAATATTAATTAGACCACGCTTCGGTCTGCAACGTCGGTTTATATCTCAATATTTACACATCGTTATATCTTTAATTCTGCTTAAGCTGTAATAATTATTAATTAGCATTTAATTTATTCATTCATTAATATATTTCTCATTTAGTTTGACACCAAGATAAGTAAAAACGAAGAGATCGTAAAGAATCAAAATGCATTTATTTCGTCATAAACAAACAAATTTATTGGTCATTTACATCATTAAAGCTCTCCAAGAAACTGGTACATACACAAGATTGAGATTTTGCGTGGTGATTCGATAATCATGTTGCATGCAGAGAAGTTTGTGGACAGGTGTCTGTAATCAAAAAGAACTGTGAATATAAACAAGATGTTGATTGCAGTCTTTAGCTTGCCATTGATTGGAAAAAACAATGGATTAGATTTACATGCAATCAAGCCACTATTTGTATTTTTGTATGACCACTGTGTGATGTGATTTTTAGTTCACTGTGTTAATTGTTTAAACTTTTATTGGTCATTAAACTTTCCATGCGTCATTCCTCATTATGTTGAGTTCAATTTACGATTAGATAAAGCTTTACACCTGGCTGAAAGCAATTTGTTATAAAATTAGTCATAAAGAAGAAGATACAGAAATTTCAAACTTTGATGTTAAGCCGTTGTCTATTAATCATAATAATTGTCTTGTTGTTTGTGTATCTCATGCCGACTTGTTAGAAATTACGTCAACCGGTTCAGTAAGACGACCCATGGAAGAAGTGACCATATAGAGAGTAAAATAATAATAAAAGTGTTACTTATTCCATACACTGAGAGACAAATAAAAGCTTGCTGCTTGTACACTTACGTAATATGAAACACAAACAAAAAGAAAACGACAATACGGCAATGTGTGGTAGAACGAAAGAAATTTTACGCCGTATTAAAATAAATTTAACGCAAAATACGACTAGAATCGAATTTTAATTGAAAACAAATATGTGACATGTGTTGTTTTTCAACTAGACTTAAAAAGAATGCGAAATCCAGTTGTAAGAGCATGCTACACATAACAGAACAGGGTTAAGCGGATGAATGTAATGGTAAAGTAATAAAGTCGACTATAAATTAAAACACAACGCTTTTTCAGGTTACAAGTTATAAATCATTGATTCATTAAGTTAAGAGACAAGAAGGTTAACACCTGTTCTTATTTCCGATGTTATTGTATTGTATGTTCATTTCAAGAAAGTCTAATTTGGTGATTGTCTTCAGATTTAGACAATCTTGTGTCTAAGACCACCAAGCTTTGATTATTTGCATCTCTAATTACATTACGGCAAGATAATTTGTGGTTGTGGTTAGAGAGGAGTAAAAAATCGTTCGTTTACTGCCGCCACCGCTAAAGTTAATTTAAGAAAAAAACAAAATATCTAATCTCAAACTCATTAAAGTAGAAATTCTCTTGCACATTACTCGGTATCGCCAAGAAATTTCAAAAATTTTAACACTTAATCGTTTCTCATGAAAGTGATTGCCTTCTAAAGTCAAGATAAAAAGTTAATGACTTGAATACGCCACTAGATGACTGTATTTCAAACAAAAAGAGTTTTTAAATATGGGATTGTTCGCGTTGTTCTAGTGATAGAGCAAATATGTTTTATGCGGATGCCTGATGATACTTTATCTCATTTCCGTATGGATTTCCTAAATACAGTGATAAGTGTCACAAGAAGAGCTCTCTGAACAAATTTATCATTTATTGAACGTACAAAATTGTATTTAACGACTTTATTGATTAATAGTTGGTGAATCACAATTTGCATGTGTTAATGATCTCATTTAACACCACTAATGACATAATAACACCACTGAAATTAGATCAGCATTATTAGAGCAAAATGAATACAAATTGAATTTAAAAATTAGTTAAAAGTTCATCCACTCTTGTGATAAACTGAAGATTGGAGGTCAAAAATTTCGTTTTCCTTATCATAATGCGGTAGTTTTGGTGGTCTGTTTAAATAAAATGTTGAAACATCGATAAAACTCAAATTAGATAGCCTCATTAAAATAAAACACAGTTTGACATTTATAAATAATTATTTAAACTTGTAAGAGGGTATGGAATATTTTTTAGAAAGAAGTCATGTTTTCATTATATTCAGCACTGGATTCAGTTGTACTCTCGTTAGGTGATGCAACTTCAGGTTTAGCTTTCGGAGCTTCATTTTTTTCTTCTTCAAGCTCTTCATTTTTTACCGCCAGAACTGTATCAAGACTGCTGTCACGCGCTGTATCTTCGGAAGATTCAGACGGTGGTCCAGCGTCTTTCTCCGGTTTCAGTTCCAAATCCTTACTAAAATAACGAATTACTTCTTCATCTATTTCCGTAGATTGTTTCTTCAACGCGCATTTAATTTTAGGTTTAAATCTAAATTCACATGCCGCGTCTGGTGCCGTCTCCTTTACGATTTCTTCTTCCATCACTTCCTTCCTCTCTGGTGTTTTTTCCGTTTTAGTTTTAGTCATTTCTGGTACGACATCAAGAAATTCAGCACTTTCAGTTTTGCTTATTGTGATTACAGGAATGTTATCAGACCAGTTAGAGGATGATGAATCTTGACGAAATTGTTTTTTATGTTGAATACTTCCACTCACACTCTTAAGACTACTCTGCTTTTGTAACAAGCCTTTTTGATAATCAAAACTATTTGAAGAAATTGATAATCTTGATGGCGGTTGAGGTTTGCTGTCTTTGATGCTGACTAAATCTTCAGGTAATGATTCGTGTTGTTCTGTATCTGTGCCTTCGTCAAGATTTTCATTGTCACGATTTTCGTTTTCTGACATTGACGAAGTTTTGCCTAATGCTTTTTTAATAAATTTTGAGAAAAAATCTAAAATTAAAAATTTAAAGACATTATAAATTAATACATAATAGTTACACACCTTTATTTTTTCCAATTTCTACTTTATCTTCTTTGATTTGGTGAGACTGGTTAGTGTCTTGCCTCGGTGAAGTGTCATCAAAACTTTTTCCAGTACTTGGCATTGTTGAAACTAGTTTCCTCCATTTGGCAAATGGAGTATTGGAAAATTCTCCAGAACCACCAGATTTTCCTTTTCTTCTCCTATCAGCAATTTGGAACATTTTTCGCCGTTCTTCTGTGCGTTCTCTTCTAAGTTGGATCTTCAAATCATTGTTTGCTTCTCTAAGTGCACTCGTCAAAGACACCAAATAATAAATAATTAACACCAATAACAGAAGAATTGGTATTACAATTGCAGGTGATGCAATATAATCTAAAACCTGCTCTACAATTTGAGGTACGTTTCGTTTAATAGTCTTGGTCAAAATATGAAAAATTCTTTGATAATTTGAAAATGGACCACAATTCCAAGACGGCGGTATTTGCACAATTGCGTACCCCACCGGCAAAACACACAAAAAAAGCATCATGAGTAAAAGTGCGTAATAAAAGTTGTTAGATCTTGAAGCTCTAAAGATAATTTCATGAGGGACATTGCAAGTTAAAACGATCCAAGTACGGAAGTACATTAAAACGAAAAGTTTGAAAATGTTTAGGACGACTAAACCGGGTGAAAAAAACATTCCCATCCAAACCATTCCTTGGTTATTGACCAAATGAAGAATATTCTCGGCGACTTTGAAATCTCCATATTGAGGAAACACTTTTTCGAGGTTCCAACACCAACAGCGGTTCATAAAACGGACAAAAATTCCTCGGATGAAATCCATAGCTAAGGTCGAAAGTATCGTCATTACGAGATCCATGACTGTTAGTTTGATTAACTCTTGACCAAAGTTTGTCTCCCAACATAGATTCCTCAATCGACGTCTCGTGCTATAGTTTAGACTACTCTCATCTATAATCGTTGAAGGAGTCACTGTAAAATTCTCACAAATTTCTATACAGTTCCTTTTTTTAACAGCACTTCCTTGTATTTTTGGTACATCTGAGGTTTTATTAGTTTCTGATGTTTTCGTTACTTCTGTTGATTGTATCACGTCGAGGCTAGAGAAAGTACTTTCTTCGGTACTATCACTAGTCAAAGCACTTGTCATCAAGTCTGAGACATTTGTTGAGTCATCAATCCCGGTATTCGAAAACGTAAAATTTTCAGACATTTCAGTTGCGTAATTTTGTGAAAAATCAACCGGATTTGTATACATTCCGGGAATATCGCTTATTGTAAATTCCGCGTCTATGGTTTCTTTATCAAGTTCCGTGGTTGAGTCTTTCACTGCTTTTTGCATAATTGGATACATTGTAAATGAAACATTGGTAGCAACGGCCGCTATTAAACTGAAGGTTTTAAGAATATCCGTTTCGGAATTGCAGCTATTGTAACATTGCATTCCTGCTGAATAAGCTAACACACTAGTATTGGCTCTTGTTAAATTTCTCTTGAAGCTTTCCAGTTCTGGCGTCTACAAAATTAAAAAATGCACATAATGAACGAGACTACGGTATTTCTGTTACCATATCGTTGATTTTATCGAACAGAGCGAATATCAAAGAGTACAAGTTGAGAAGGTTTAGCACCATGATCCTGAAAATGTGGACGTAGAGAAAATTAAGTAAGAATGGAGTTGCAATGCAATACGAACATATTATTTTAATATTCTAGTTTGTTTTAAAATTTATAACTTTAAGCAATTCTAATTAAATATGGAATGTGAGTTTAAACGTCCTGGATATAAGAACGGCGATTTAAAAACACTTTATTGCAAATTTTACGCGATTTTCTCTTTCAGCGGTATTAACCGACAAGTGCTTTTTCTTCTTGTTTTCTACATAGTAGGTAGAGTCCCGGTTATAACAAAAATTCGGATAAAGCAGTCATTTTAGTCAAAAACGTAATTTATAGAATTGCTTTCTACTTAGGTATGTTTAACATAAATACCTACATATGAAAATATTAAAACTCCGATTAAGACTCAGATTAAGCGAAACTATCCTTGAGAAAACTTCAGAATTTTTAAAAATGTTGTTGAAAAACTTAAATCAAATATTATAGTTTCGCAATTTTTTTTTGTAAATATTAAATCGGAAATGGTTAAATTTTGTTGTCTGAGGTAGGCAGCCAGTTATACACTGATTTAATAAAATGGTTGGTGTAATTTACTCATATTTCAAGAAAAAAATTATTAGGGGTATAATTTTTTCCCACTTTCTGACGTTGTCTGAACAAAAATTAAAAGCAATGTTTTTCAGTGTTTACAAACAACTCTGTTAAAATATTTGTTTTGTAAGAGAAATGCTAAAGGTTAGAGTTCTCGCAAATTGTATGAGGGAAACAACAAAAGCTCGAGGCAAAGGAGACCAACTTTATTATTACCTTGCGAGCTGTAATCGCAGTTGTTTTCTAGGATGGTATTGTTCAAGAAATCCCAACCCTTCAAATATCATAGGGAAAGATATAGAGATAAAGGTCATAACAAAAGTGATTTCGTTACTCCTCCAAACACTACTCCTAGCTTCCGGTTCCGTAGATCTTTTCACAACCAAAACGACGGCAAACGCCGAGAAGAATAACAGCCCCAACACTACCGTATTCACGAGTATCCTAAATCCTGTGATCTTCCAACTGTAAAAAGACCGATTCACAAATTTAAATTCGTTTATTAATCCCAAATACAAGCAAAGAAATTGCGGAAAATTACTTTCTTGCCTCCCTCTTCTTCTCGGCTTCTTCGAGCAAAGCTTCCTTAAATCCGACGACAATCGAGGCTATTCTATTATGCGCCGTTTCCGCGTTCCCAATCATGTAATCCCACGCCGTGAAGAGTTTCCACGAAAAAATGCATTCATCATCCTTTTCTGAAAGCTTAGACATACGAGAGTTTTCCGCCATCCTACAAGTTTCGCTGAATATAAATCGCTACATTACTATTTTCAATACAAACTTTCGCAAAGTTGCGAAGAAGCTGTAAGCGTAGGCCACCAGGCCAGTTATGAAATAAGCAAAAGGCATCCGATAGCCGCTCTTTTTCGATTCTTTGTACGTGTACCAGCCGTAGAATAACGGCGAGTATTTGAAAACGCCCCCAAAGTCCCACAAAGTTTGAAAGTTGGTTGAGTTGTAGCGCTCTTCCTTGAGAATTTGTTTGCGAACGTCGGGCGCTGCTGTTAACATCTGAAATCGTATTTATTGCACGATTCGTATAAAACACATCGGGTTTAATATCCATTTGAGGCGAAAAAAATTAACATAATATTTGATGTACGTGTCCAGGAAGAAATAATAGTGCAGCGTGCTTGTGCATACGTGCTTTTAATTAAAAATATTATTAAGTGACAAGCTTCGTCTACTGGGTGCGCCAGAACTCGTGTCCCAGAGAAAAAGCCATGTAAGGTAAAATACCAGGAACATGAAAAAAATGTTAAAAAAATTCTATCTATAAAAATTTCGAAGTTATGAGAGTTATGAGACTATTTATTTCTGTTGAAAAAATAATTTTACAATTTTTTTGCTACAAGCTATTAGAAGAGGGATCAAGGAAGCTATATCCTAAATTCAACTCCGTTGAATGCTATTTGTGGCTTTTATTAGCAAAACTTTTGTACTTTTACTAAATAATTATAAAAAAAAACTTATACAAGATCATTAGAATCATTTAAATATGCATAAAAAATGTCAAATGTCAAAAAATAAATGTCAAAATTTTTTGACATAGAATTTTTTAAACATTTTTTTCCTGTTCCTACTACCTTATGTTACTTAAAATTTTTCTCGAAAGCGCGAGTTCTAACGCCTGTATATTATTAAAACGCACATAGGTTTCAATCTATCACTGTATCAAAAACTTTTTTTCATTTTGTGTTTAGAATAAGTCTATTAAAACACCCAAATGACGTCATTTGAGTGCTTTAATAAGTCGTTGGCGTTAATTTAATTTTAGTGACGAACATTCTTCACTATTCATTTTCAAATGTGAAAATAAAAATTATTTTTATTTTTCAGCCTCCTAAAATTATTCCACATAAATGTCACCAACCGTCGCAAAATTTCCTAGATTTAAAATTTCCGTCTTTTAATTTATAAAATAATATAAAGTGGAAAAATTGAAAAAAAAATATAAAACATTCGTTGCAGAAGGTTCTTCAAGCATTCATTTTTAATTCAAATTTTCAAATTCGTACTTCTACAACCTGTATTTTAATACATTTTTGTATCGTAATTAAACAAAATTATGTGTCTTCATGATATTAGTACCTTTTTACCGGACTAGTTTACAGAGATTTATAATTATTATTATCGTGCACTAGCAAACAAGAGCACAATTAAACGGTAAATTCTATAAACCAAAATAAATTTGCGTCGCAACATTGAAGTTTATGTTAATCATTAGTGGTGTTACCAGTAATAAATGTTTTATATGCCTCTTTATTAACGAATCGCAATTATTATTGACTTGCTGCTGATTAATTAATTTAATAAACAGTCAAATCATTATTTTCACCGTGAGATTTAAATAAAAATCGTTGCTAGAAATATATAATAAATTACTTTATTGCGTAACAAAAATGTCAAAATACAAAACACAGAAAATAAATAAAAAACTTGTGATAGATGAGCAATTCATTTTATCTCCTCTGCCTTTTCTTCCTCTTTCTGAAGCTGTCGAGAATTGTAGTGGTGGTGTTGAGGTAAGCCCTCTCCTCGTCAGTGGTTTCGAGAAAATATGAACCGTAAGGTATACTCGGATTGGCTGCAATTCCCATCGGGACTGCGATCAGTCCATCTGTGTTTCCTGTTAAATATTCATCCCAGGACTGGAACGAATATGCCTTGAATAAATCAGGTTTCTTTACGGAAGCCGTCCAGAATTCGCATGACCGCATGTGGCTGCAGACCCCTGCGACAGATATTTATTGCCGACAACGATAAAACTCATGTAAAATAGTGTTGCGCTTCGAAATATCAATGAGCGGATTTTTAAGCTGCCTCGTCCAGCTCTCCTTTAATAAAACTAGTCATTAAAATTCACTCACAGAAGCCACATCCAGGCTGGTGTTGACCACCGTTGGGGTAATAATCGACGTGGCCTGAGGGAAAAATAATCCCAAGGTGTTTACCATTCGTGTGGATGACGTCCACGAAGGAGGCGTCTCCCGGGTCCAGAATCTCGTCGAGAGACTCGATATGAGGCCATTCATACAAAGGGGCCGCGGGGTCTAGGCCCGATATTCGGGCTAGGGTTTGGTTTAAGGCGACTTGGAGTCGGTAGCCTGCAGATGCAGCGATTTGGGCTCCCATGCTGTGGCCTATCATGTGAACTGATGACATCCTGATGCCGGTTGATTGCGCCATAAAGATGCAAAAAGAGGTTAACTGACGACTGACGACGCCGGTGTGGATGCGAGCTTCAGTGTAAATGGCGTGGGATAACGGAGCCCAATCCACCACAATTATATTCCATAGGTCTAGCTCGGCCATAGCTAAAACATTTAAAAAAGATCTTCACTTCTTCAAAGAAAAAAACTTTGCTTGTACATAAGGGTGTTCCAGCGAGATGAAAAAGTCCATTAGTGACTTTTAAATGGTAAAATAAAAAAAAATATACAGGACATTAATAAATACTAATCTAGTCCATCGTCTAAAATTATTTTCAACTATACAGCGTGTCTCAAAAAAAAGTTACAATACAAACTTGTGTTTTTTTAAAAGTAACACCATATGTTTCTTAGCGTTCTTGGATGTAGATTTTTATGACAATGTTTTTCAGCTAAACTTTTATTGGTCAATTTTGCTTATTTTTAAAAATAAGACTGTTTTTGGTGAAAACATGGACTTTTTAAAAATTTATTACACAAAAACTAAGACATCTAGAAATATTTTTTTTACTACCGCAAAGAAGAAGGTACATACTATAAGGTTGTAACATTTTTTTAGTGTGTTGCATTTGCAAAGGTAAAAAAATAAAGGCGTTTGTTAAAAGTTCAATAACTTAAAAAAATTAAATGGAACACTTTATTGTTTTTGCAGAAGTGAGAAAAAATTTGTTCTAGCTGTGTTAGTTTTTCGATAATATTTTTTTTAAATGTGCATGTTTTCGTCAAAAAAAACTGAGCAAAATAGACTAATAAAAATTTAGGGTAAAAACATTGTTTTAAAAAGCAACATCCAAAAATGCAAAGAAACATACGGTTTTTTATTTAAAAAAAAACACACAAGTTTGTATCATAACTTATTTTTGGGACATAATATATGGTTGAAAATAATTTTAGGTGATGCACTAGATATTCTATACAATTTTTTTTTTATTTTTACCATTTAAAAGTCACTAATAGACATTTTCAACTCGCTAGGATACCCTGTAGAAAGCTAATTGTATGTTTGTCTTAAATAAAACTCCGGTTATTGATCATTTTACTACTCCTAATTTATAAATAAACTCTATTACACATAATGTACAAGTACACCAGTGTCTCGACTAAAAATGATGATTTTTGAATGTCTAATCTAATGGTGATAACTTATTTTACAAATTTAATTTTAATATTAATATAAATAAATTCAAAACTTCATTTTTTTTCAAATTAACACTAAGTATAAATCCATATAATACTAAGACAATATTTAAAAACTTGTGTAAATGTAGTAATGAATGTGAGCATCGCTTTTTCGGATATTTTTACAATTGGGTACTAAATAACGAAGTTAAAGCTCTTTATCTTTCTAACTTTTTTTTTCGACAGTTAGACTAACACTACATTATGGTTAGAACAAAGCAAGTCTTTAAAGTTTGCACATTTTATAAGACCTCACTTTAGTTTTTTAACTAACTTGCATTTTAACACTGAGAAATCTGAAAAGTTTAAGTGAGATGTTCAGACTACTGAAACAACCTGTAAATGTAGAATAAAATAGACTCGGTGAGGATTTATATGATAATTATAAACATTCATTTGTAAACTTATAAAGCAGATACATTTCAGCTACAACATAAAACAATATTTACACAAAATTCCAATTATGTTTACTGTAGCAACAGAAACATAATTATAGAATTTAAAATTATGTGGATTTGGATATGCGTATGAGTGATTATTCGGCAAAGTAAAAAGCAGTATAATAATGACCTCCAACTTCATCTAAATACAAACGTGCTCACAGTATTTTTACTAATAATTAAATTGAGAAAGTAGAAAACTGTGAAGAAACAAAAAAGTTTTTCTTACATTTTTAGTCCAATTATAAAATGTGAACTTTTACTGTCGTTTCATTTTGTTGAAAATACCATAAGCGTCATTTCACTTATGAATCAACTATTTTATGGTAGCTGTCTCAGTATTTAATTCCCTTTAAAACAATGGAAATTAATCTAAACTTCTTAACACATTTTCCTTTCTATTTACTCTCTTAGAACAAATTGTTGGAATGTGACACAATCGGCACACTTATTAGAGGTCAACAAATGTTTGTGTCTGTGTATTTTTTATATTACAAGTCAGTGAAGGAATTTTATTTATAGCTGCGACTGTGCTAATTTGCAAGTCGGTGAGTATAGGTACTTGTTTTAATCAGTTTAAAATCAACTTTTTTTCACTCAGTGAAGCTAATTTTTATTTCTTGTTTTTTGTAAATACGAAGACCGTGTAAAATTTGCGCAAGAGTTAAGCCAGTCAAAATGAGGTCAAGCTTAATAAATATGTGTGTTTTTAGTTTAAGGTCCAAATTGCTTTGCTTAAATGTGAAGGTCGCGAAATTGACACAAGTCCAACCAAAAAATACTTACCTTCCCTCATCTCCACCACCCAAGGCACATCTCTCCCGTGAGTCCATCCGTGAATGATAATTTTGGTAGATAAATCCGGATTAAATCGAGAATTCAAGATCGATCCAATATCGCCGATGAAAAGTCTGTCATCTTTTGAGAAGTTGCTTCTGTAGATAATATCTCACATAAGCAGATTATTCAAGTCTCGCGACGCATTAGTGTCTAATTCATCATTTAGAGCTTTGGAAAATGCGAAAATACCTACCGGTGATACAAGTGAAAAGTCACTTCGTCCTCCGGCGGAGAGTAGCTAATAGCTTCCCTGAAATTATTCCTAATGGGATACAACACTCCACTAATTCTCCCCGTACAGCACACTAGCAAAGAGATTTTAAACCACATTTCGCAAGGAAATGCTGTAAGCCGATCTGCGACAACATACCCACTAAGCGAAAATTGACATTGCGTTGTAGTCATCGCGGTTTCGAAATTATTTGTTATTAAAAACAATGCGGTACGAACGACTCTTCAAACACATAAACTAAATAACGTGATTTTCCAATTGGCCGTAAATAAATTGAAATAATAGGACGAGAGGTAATTTAAATTCATTTTGTGTACACAATTTCTAAATTTGCAAAATATAATATAATAAATAATTTCATATTTTCATGAAACACAAATTTCAATAAGATTTAAAATTGGATCATATTAGGTTTCGTAAACAATTTGAAACAAACTAATATTGTTGCAAGCACGTATTCAGTGCCTGCAAGAGGCCATAATTTTTAAATGAAACCTTAAATGAGTCAGAAGACCGTTAAAAGTTGTACCATAATAAAGACTCTACGGTTCTCTTATCTTTATATTCTATTTCCACTTTTAACAAAATTATTAGCAGCAAAGATATTAAATTTATCTCAAAAGACCACAATGTGTCCGCTTCTTATTCCACAAAATATACAAACCTCTTATTATTATTATAACTATACAGGATGTCCCTGTTAAAAGTTAAAATATTCAAGCATGTGTATACAAAATTTGTAGATACTAACTCCTGCATCAAGAATAATACAGGTAAGTTAAATACAAATTTATGTTTTTAATGTTTACTTGTAGTTTTAATTTCGATAAGTTTATTTATTTATTATTGCTTAGTTTCTGAAATATTTTCATTTCTTCGACGAAATCATATTATGTCGTTGCAAACTGATAAAATTTTCGAAATATGGTACTTGGAAAACGATTATATGAAAAAGTAAGACAGATAGAAACAAAGGAATTTTTAATTTAGGTTCTTTGCAAAATAAAAACAAAAAAAACAATACATAAAAAGTGATATATTGAAACAATGAGCGTGAAGTAGTCCCAGAGGTATAGTAATAAACCTAATTAAGAACAAATTGCCAAAGTGAAAGTGAAAAATTTACGACTGTATCATCGTTTAATAAATTTGGTTAACTTCAGTGTCCAAATAAGTCTCGTCATGATATTATTTTAGTTTGCAAATCACTTTTTATTATTTCGAATTGTTTATACATGCAGTGCACATTAAATCAATGCCAATTTACCTCTGGCACTGCGACGAAAGAAATTAACACAATTCCCAACACGACGTTGACCCAAAACAACCATCTCAGAAAAAGAAAATAAGACGCCACCACCGATCCAAAATGCGACTCAATCTCTTTTATCTTCCTTTCCCAAGGCACCAGCCAATTGGACAAATTGGATAACTCGCGGCGGTAATGTTGCCACTTCTAAAAACTCCCCTCTTTTTAAATCACCCCAGGATCTGACGACGACTTACTTTGATAAGATAAATGTTCCACCTCGCCAACATATCCCTCGTCGATCGACTTTGCGCCAGTCGTTCCTGCAAGGCGCCCTCGTGTTGCTTAATGTATGCTTTGGCTTGGACAACAAGTTTCAGTTTCTTTCGCATGTTCCACGGTTGCATTTTCACGTTGCTTAAAACTTCTTTGTGCAGTTTGATGTTCTCAAAGATTTCTTCTTGGCTCACGGCTTCCATTCCGTCGTCCATTGTAATGGCGGTGCTGGAAAGGAATTACTAGACTTCGAGAGGATTAAAAGGACTTACTCTCCGGAACTAGTGGTGAAAACCGAAGAGCGTCTGCGGCCACCCTCATTGCTTAATAAAATGTCGGGGCTAAAAGGCGAGCTGGCGCGCCGGCTGCTGCGGCGACGGGACTTCCTTGTGGACGCTCGTCTTTGGATTATGGCGTTGACGCTTGCTGAGTAGTCTTCTTCGTCGGAATCATCGATGTCCACTAAAGTTTACAACATTTCTTTTGTTGCAATATAAATGTGTAAAATGCAATCTTGATTTTTATTATTTACAATTTAAATTAACATAAAGGAATGTAGTGAAACTAAGAATTAAATCAAAATTTTCACTATAACAATCGTAAATTTAACAAACGCTTGTAAAATATTTTTGCTTTTATTTTAATAATTATCATTGATAACAATAGTAATAAAAATCTTCTCATCTAATAAGACTGTTCAATGTACAAATTTCAATTTATTTACCTAATATTTTCCCACTCCAATTTGACATGACAAAAAAATGAGTTAAATATTTTAGACAACAAATAACGTTATAAATTTCGTAACATGGTTTATTTTATTCTATCAGAAGATAGGAAAATTATTTTTAAAGACTAGATACTAGATAACAAGTGTTCAAACGGCTTTTTGTTACCAATCTGTCTTTCATAACTGTTTTGTTATTGTCAAAAAAATTAGCAGAAAAGTGTAAAATAAACAAAACTAAAATAAAAAACAATGCATCCTTATTAACATAAACAATATGTTGTCTGGTCAGGATAAGTCAAATTTGGACGTCATTTTATTGTTTGGAATAGTTTTTTGTTTCCTAATTTTTCATTTTTCTTTGAATAAATACACTTTTTGTTTAAACAAGAAATTTTTCTATGAGAAAAAAGAACTGCAGTGTCTTAAGAAAAAGATTGACTATTGACTCAAACAATGTAAACATAAAAAGTAATATTGCTTATACATAGTTCATGTTAAAATACATAAATGTTTTTAAAAGGTGTTGGTTTAATGTAATATTTATTTGAATCAAATTAAAAATAAGCAAGATACAGCGTTAAAAGTATTGTATTACATCAAGCACCTTGTGTGCCTAATTTTTATCTAAACTTATAAAATAAAGCAACAAAATTAAAAATATTCTAACTAACTTTTATATTAATTATTACTACGTTTTTAATACATATTACATTGTCTCGAAAATTAATTGTTTTTGCACTTGCGAAAAAAAATTAATGTAGGTATTTTTTTTTCTTATTGCGTGCTTGGTTCTACCAGTAAATCAATTTTTATAGCTCATTAGTCATCTACTCTTGCATGTATCTCATTTTAACATGTAATATAAATTATAAATAAAACCTATTAGGTACTGTTTAAATGTAGAAAAAAAGTGAAACTTTAAAGTTACAAAAAATATCCCGGCGCATCCACCATTTTTGCTTCATCAGATAAAAATTATATATAATCATTAAAATATAAATTAATCAATATGTAGATCATAAAAAAACTTAATCAAAGGAAAACGTTAGATTAAAATTTAATTCAAATTATAATTTAGATAAATCAATATTTCGGTATTTTTTACACAAAACAAAATCGTAAAAAAAATTTCAATGCACCGTAATTTATCTAAGCTAAATTAATTAAATAATATGCTTAAAATCACGGAAAAACATTTTTTATTGTAATATTTGCTGTGACAAAATGGTTAAGTAGTATTTGCTGAGAATTTAATAACTGTTGGTGTATTTATCTTCTTACATTTCACTACAATAATATGTTTCATAATTTAAATTAATGCATTTTTAAAGATAAACTTTTTAATTTGTTTGCTGTAAATCATTAGTATTACACAAGACTGCAAATTTCAGATTTTGAAATGATTTCTAAGGTTTTACTGATTTCAAAAAGCAAAACAAATTTTCTCTATTATGAAAAGCTGTTCCGTAATAAAAAAAAAAATAGGTAATAAAAAAATATAATATATCATTACTTATTTGCACATTTTTTACAAAAAACTATTTTAAACTTTGTTATAAGCTGAAAAAATGCTTGGAGAAGTTGATAATCCTTAAGCTATAAGAAATTGAGAAATTGCTAGATCTTGGATTTTTTTTACAATTTCAGCTTTTAAAAACACATTAAGTTAAAACACAAAACATAGGCCTCAGAATTATAGCCACGATTAGTTAATACTGGTATCTCCTAAAAAATAGTTATTTATTATACAAGATGATAATGAAAGATCGAAAGATAATGAAAATTTTATCGTCGTGTACAATATAAAATTTTATTCAATCCTCACTAATTTTGTAGTCAATTTGGTCGATATTTATAAATGGCAAAGTAAAATTCAACAATAAAATCTAATGTCAAAGATCGTTAGCAACTAAGAACAATGGATGTATTTTTTTATCATCTAGACGATAAAATTTTATTTTAACATGAAGAAAAGAGTAGATAAAATTTAATTTTAACACAGAGGATTGAATGAATGTATTATTTTTTTCATATTGATGCAATGACAGATTTATTAAATTTGTATGATAAATCTGAGACACCAAAAAACCTCCCATCGCACATCCTTATCCCGTTTCCAACTTGCACAAAACTCGCAAACTCGCAAAAGTGATTAAACTTTACCTGTGCCTTGTGGAAAATGAACCTTATCCATCCTGCCAGCTCCGGGACTGTAATAGTTACACTTGGAACTGTCACTTTTTACCGAATCTTCAGCAAAAGTAACCGAAAACCGATCGACGGAAGGTTGAGGCGACGCTGGTTCGGCCTAAATCAGAAATAAGAACAAAATCACAAAGCAATCACTTTTTTATAAAAGGCAAACGCTCTCGAGGATGTGCTCAATGAAAATGCGATCCCTGCTTCAGAATTCGATCTGAGATATATTAGCGAAGCGGGGCGAAAATGAAAAGGGTTATAATTTAATCAAAATACTGGAAAACATTCGCAGCACGCATTTATTCAATCTTGACCACACCTTATAAACACCAAACGAATTCTTTTTAAGCCAAAGTGCTTGGATCTATCTGCGTCTCTTTCCCCACTAAGGAAAAGCACTAGAGACAAAGATGGAGAAGAATTGAATGAAAAAAGAGGCGTAATTTACTCCAGCCTGGTTTCGTTAATTCAAATAAAAGGCCCATATTTCTGACAATGACTTATTAAGATTTGCATTTTATTGATGTTTGTTCCTATCATAAATGCTTTTTGTCATGTAATTAACTCTCAGGGATAGATCAATACTGTTTCCATTTGTCTAAAGGATCATTACGCTGACTGTCACTGCATGTGATGTGACAATATGTGGCCTCTTCGCAGTTCAATGAACAAAACGAGATGAAAAACTAGAATAGGAGCTATCAATATCCACTACTGCATGTTTCCCGTCCGTTAATCCAATTAAGTGATGTAGACAAGCATGAAAGCGAGATCTTGAGATTACTCTAATCAAAATTATAGGTGATGGAAAAAGTTGTCACAGAAATGTGATTAATGTGCGGTATCTGATATCCTAATTAAAAAGTAATTGCGCTTCGTGTTTCAATCAGAAATTATTGCGCAATTGTTTTTGGGCTTTGGCTTTTGTTTAATTAATTTAATTCGACATGATCTGCAGCTATACATTAACATATTTTGAAGTTTTACGTTTGTTTGTTGAGATAATGTATCATAATTCAAAATTGAAATAGACGAGATAAAAAATCGAAACCACAAATTGATTTTGTAATATTTTAATGAAGTATTTTTTTTTCAGGAAACACAAGTTGTTTTTTCTTATTTACAAATCACTACCTTATAAATTAAAATAAAGTATATAAAACAGAACAAAAACTTTAGAATTTCAGTATATTTATTGCGAAAACCGTCCTTGTGAATAGTCAGCGATCCTATCTAATTATCCTTGTTCTGTCATTAAATTCACACAAGCCTAATTTCCGTTAGTTAACTCCCACAACACTCGTTCAATTAACTTAAAAAGAGAGTAATTCATCAAATTTCGACATTCTAGACCAGTCAATTAACTAGATCATCGGCTGTTTGTTTAATAAACAAAATTGCACTTCCAATGAAAATAAATTTTCGTGCTTTCAGGAATCTTACAACAAAGCTACTGACACGCTACTTTTACCATTAATAATCATTCCAGTAGTATGTGGAGGAGTGCCCCACAGTCGTGCAACAAGCCGATATTACATTATTAATTTTTTTAATCTAAACACTGTTTTCATCCTCGCTTAATTGACGGCCGGGGTGTGTCTCCTGAAGATTTAACCCACTTTTGCCCGATTTCGAAACTCGTCAACGGATTAACTTCACGGCTTTATTAAATTCAAACATACAGAACTTGCATGATCATGCAACAATTTACATATTTATCGCCAAAGTAATAAAAACTTTTCCTATTTCAGGCGTAATCATGACAGGACTCTTCAGGGGACTTATCGGTGCATACTGATGAGAAATCAGTCCTTTACACACGGAGCTTTTTAACCTTCCTTTGTTTATCTCTGAAGACACTGCGTTTTACACCATAAAAGATGTCGGATATGGGGGTGACATCATGATGATAAATTGCGCATACAACCCACATTAAAGTGGTGCGTGTGAGTGGTAAAAGTCGCAGTTGGATTCGGAAGCTTTTAATCAAAGTGTTTATCAAGTATTCAAATGTTTCATAATTTATAAATCGATTTCAATTTACACTTCATTCAGTTGACTCAGGATTGGGATTAGCTTAAAACGAGTGGTGTTTAAAAAAATGCGTGTTTGAAGTCGTAGTTAAATTAATTAATTAAGCAAATACCACTGGGCAAAGTGCCTCTGATTTTTTAACAATTTCATTGTGAAATTTAAAATTAATGCAACTTTAGTTAAAACCAAAGCAAAAAGTGTGTAAAATCCTTTAATCCATTTATTTAAACATTAAATTTTTCTCCCCGTGTTTTTGCAACAAAAAAATCCAACGTTTCAAATTTACTTTATAAGCCGTAGAATTTAAGAAACAATGAGTTCAAGATCCCATTAAAATTTGTCAGTGAACTAAATGATTCTACATCTACATAATCTAATTGTGTATACTGTTTTGTATTCTTGTTCTGAAAACTGCAGTCGCCTAAAGTAAATTATTGTTTCCGGATTTCAGCAAACAGATTGTTTTATTAAAGCAGATCTGATTTATTAAAAGCAGTTTTTTTTCTATCGTTTGATACACAGTTAAAAATCCTATTATTTTTCCTTGTCTTGACAAGTAAAATAGCAAAAACTTGAAGTACCTAATTATTTAACACATCAACATCAACAGTTCCCTTTTACGTCTTTTATCTTTTTTTCTGGTCTTTCTTCTTTTCATTTAGTCTTTTGAAAAGCAAAAAATTACTCTTAAAATCGTAGTAGACTTTAAATTCCGAGCTTAAATTATTTACAATTTCAAGCTTACAAATCAAAATCTAAAAATAAAATCCTTAATTTAATAATCGAGATCCTAAAAACTGGTGCTTTTCTTTAACCATTATTTTCACTTTGATCATTTTTAGAACAAAAAAACTCTTTATTTGCTTTAATTAGTACGCAGGTACTCTTTGTTTGTTTTAAGTAAAGAAACAGTTTTTGTTTATTCTAATTTGAACAAAGAAGGTGCAATTGACCATTTTTAAGCAAAAGAAGAGCTTTAAAACAAATACTTTTATAAAAATGCAATTTTAAGTAAGATTAACATGCATTTCTCCTATATGGCGCAATACCTGAATAACAAACCTTAACTTCAAAAAATCATATCGTAAAAACTACTCGGTATATTATTTTAAAAATTTGGATTCTTACTAATAAAAAGATGCTCTACACAATGGTGACGAAGAAAAAAAAATTACTCGTAGGGTTTTTCTTAAATTACCTCGATTTACTTAAGTCGCATGACAGAGTTTGGAAACTTAAATTTAAAACTTAAAATTCCATTCTGTTTCGCTATTAATGTAGTGTAAAGTAGTGTAAGTAAGTTTTATTTTCACTTATAAAAGTAGTTATTTGATTCTAATTAATAAGCATCAGGTTTAGCACAAATCAATTAATCATACAATGAGTTTCTCTAAAAGCTTTAAAACTTAAAATTGCGTTTTTCAAAAAAGATCCTCAAAAAATGTTTCCTATTTTCCTCTTTCTTGACTCAATTTTTATTAATTCATTAATACAGGATGTTTGTGGATTGCGAGCAAATATTTAAACCACTAAAATAATTAGTTATGAAAAGTCGAATTGAAGAATTTTACAAGCCGTTCAGTGTGTCTGTCCTTGTTAATTTTAATTTTAACTCAGAAATGACGTGTTTTCGGCAAAAGTTAGAAATAGAGAAGTTGTTTCTTTTGTTCCATTAGTGGTTGAAATATTTGCTGGCAATCCGAGAACAACCTGTATAACAATTTAAAATTTTATCCCAAATTAAAAGTGTTGAAATTCATATTTTTATTAAATAAGCATAAGAATTACAACAAAAAATTGACATGCGTGTCAACAAAATACACACAATGAATATAATTTAGTAAATTAGTAGAAGGTTTCATTTGTACAGTGTGTCTAAAAATCACGTTGAACCAATTGTTAAAACAATGTTGACACATTTTTACATTTCAGTTAACAGTTTGTTTTTCATGAATATAAAATGTTGTTGTTCCTTTCTGAGCTCAAAGTAAGACCAATTAACTTACCTGCAACCCCTTGTAAACAATCTGAGTTTAATCAGCGTTTAAAAGCGGCAACACAAAGAAATTAAAACGTGCCTTTATGAATCTTTAAATCGTGTTTACCTGTTTGAGAAATTTGAATTCGACCGAGGCGCGTCTGGACTTCCCCGACTCGGTCCGGAGAATCCCCGTCGGCGTCTCCCTCTTGATCTTTTCCGTCTCTTTGATGTTGGCGTCCATCTCGCAGCACTCAACTTCCACGTTTTGCCAACAAATTAAGTTGCAGCTGCGACTGTGTACATTACCGGTGATATATTCCCGTGTGTTGACATGACCGGTTTATCTATTCGTACCACACCTTGCGCATTACCTGGACATCTACATTGTCGCCACCCCCATCCTTCACTAATCCACGCTGTTTGCATAGAACGCTCCTAGTGCCGTGATATATGATCCGGCATCATGTTATTACTTATGCTAATGCTTGCCAGCTTCAAAGAATTACTCAAGCTAATCGCTGCGGGTGTAATAAACGTAATTATTTTTGCTGGGCGGATTTTCAGTTAACGAATTTAATTAAAGCGAGGTGAGAGTCCGGACGAGGATTCGGAAGAATGAGATGTTGGAGAGATCGATAATTTATTAAGTGGTTGTTATCTAGTCTGGAGATGCCGGAGGGTTGATACCGACGGCCTCTTAATACCCGCATTACACTGACGGCACGAGCATAATTAAACTTAGTTCACGTGATAATTACAGGTGCTTAACCTCGGAGAACTTTGAGTGGTAAGAAAATTTTATTGCCAGGGATGTGGTGTGGAACTGAAGAAAATTGCCAATTTGGTTGCAATTAAAAATGGACATTTGCTGCCTTCACTGCCTAATCTCATCCACATGGTAATTTGTTTTGGTTTGAACGTAATTAAATTGTGCAAAAGCTGAGAAAATTGCCAAATAGATTCTCGTATCGGAGAGGGATTAATTGCCAACTGCAGTCTTGTAAACGTTTCTTCCTACGTTTGCTCAAGTGAATAATCAAAGTTAATTCTTCTACATAATATTGGAAGCGTTGAATTCATGAAAAAGCCATTTTAACTGCAAATTTGTGCCAAAGCATAACAAAAATGGTTAATCTTTTAAACAATACAATAACAATTTTCTCAATAACCATTTGTCGCAGGATAGAAGATTAAAAGTGCTTTCTAACAGTACTACAAAATCGAAAAAATTCAAAACTTTAAAATTGCACTTGCAGAGATATTGGCATAGGGCGTGATGGCGCAGCGACATAAGATCCTGCTTCCGGTATGTAAAAACGTAAAGTCAGAACTTCTTTCTTAATTCTAAACATAATAAGAGAGCATAAAAGCATGAGAACTTTTTATTTAAAATCGAGAACATTGTTGAGACGAGTTTGAGAATAATCGATTTTGTTGAGTTTTTAATCAAAAACTAGTAATCACTAGCAATAACTTTACTTTTTACTTTCAAATGAGTTTTCCTTCTCTCAGTAATCATATCTGACCGTCGCTTCGCCGCTTTTGTGTTTATCCTCTTTAACCCATGTTAACCCTCCTCTCGTAGTAGCGTTTAGTCATTTAAATTTAAAGTTAAAGTTACGCGCTATCTACAATAATTCAACCATATTTTGCTTTTACCACTTTCAGTTGCAAAGTACAACAGTTAAAAAGTTTTAATGAACTAGGAACAAGTGCAAATAAAAATGATAAGCTAAAACGTAACAAACAATAGCAGATGTTGCTTTGGTAGTTATAAAATGAATCACACAAAGTGCAGTTGCATTAAATTACTCCAGAGACGTTAGTAAAACATTTCTTACAGTAATGAATGTAAACAATACACAATGGAGCCATAGTACATGCAACATTTGATTAATATTTAAATTTTCGATAACGAAGACACTGATGATTTTTTTCATGTTTGTTTTTAATTTGTGAATGATAAAAATAAAATAAATAAATTTTAAAGTTTATTTCCAATTAATCATAAGTCAGTCATGCAATAAATGTTTAAACTAGTCTAATATCGATATAAATTAATTGTTGAATCAGCCTTGATTGAACAATAAATTACAACGTACGTAAATTTAAGCTTTGTACACAGCACTTTTAATTACATTTTAAATTATTGTACAGTAACAAATCTATTTCTATTTTCTAGAATTTATTGCCTTGTACAATACTGCAGCTGATGTCATTTATCTTACCATAATATTTGACTATTTTACGAGATAATTAAATAACAATTGTATTAAAAATAAACATCCTACAAACCTATCGCATTGTGTAAAAAAATACGTCATAAATGGCAGTATTACACTGGAATAATAATTACGTTACAGCGTTATCACATTTCTAATTTCTCAAAATAAACATAATTATAATTAAATTAGAACTAATTATAAAATGTCTAAAAAAAATTCGAGCTGGTTTTAATTAGTGACTTCGTTCCGGTTTCATTTTCCTGTAAATCTTGCAAAGCAGATATTTGAAATGTGCGCGTATCTCATTTCACGCTATCAGCATTTAATGAGTACTCGCGTCGTTTTTTTCACCAGCATTTTTTCATGCGATAAACCCCTAAACTGCAACAAACTCAAAGAAATTTCTCCATACGTCAAAACGTCGTCACTTTTCCCAATTTCAAGCCTAGCAACTTTCTCTGTTTACGTGCACTCAGTTTGGATAAGAGGTTTCTCGTTCCTTCAAGTATCGCTCGTTCGTCATCATCCTCCTCCAAATCGGGATCCTGACAGGATACGAAACCGCTCTCGGGCCGGGAGATGGAAGGCGGCTCCAGCAACTCGAACCATCGCTCCACTTTGGCCGTCGAACTGAGCTAAATGCAAAAGTTTTAGTTTTTGAAGGGTGCTTTCAGCGAAAGTGCCGCGTTGCTTGCCTTTTTAATGGAAACATGACCGGGTTGCAACGGAATAAATCATTAAATATAGTAAAACAAGATTTATTTAAATACATTAAAAATAACATCAGCTAGGTTGCTAACATCGCTTTAGTAAAACAAGAGACATTTCGAGAATATATACATCTAGCAATACTGACTATAAGTCTCAACAACGTTACAAAGTACGGTTAAGTTTTTGGTGAAATTTTTATATGGACCAAAGTGAAAAGCAATGGAAATATCTTCATAATAACTTTTTATGTGTATAAAAAGTCTAATAAAAAGACTTAAGAAATTCAAAAAATTTAAATTACACATCAAGTTTTAGTGGTAGTTATGTTTCTGTATCTGTTACACGGCCCTAATGGCCGATTTCATGATCAAATTTAAAGAATCATTAAATTACATTAAAATCGCAAATCGCATCTCTTTTAGTCAAATATTTAAAAAAATATACTTACTCTACCTGCATAAGCACAACTTTTTTGGAAAAACTTGTAAGACTGATTTGATTACAATTAATAATTTTTTGAATAAAATTTAGTTGTTTTAAAAGAGAAAGAAATAGTTCAGAATATAATTTCGCAATGCCTTTCACTCTTATTGGAAATTGCAACTAAATATGTATTCCCTTTGATGAGTAATGAGTAATTAACACACGGGAAATTATAACAGACAAATCTGTCAATCAGAAACACAACATTTGCAAATGAAACGTATTAACCGTAAATCGTTTTTGTTTGTTTTTCGAAAAACCTTCAAGTAAATATAGTTTGCCTAGAAAAAGTATCGCACACTGATCTGATTTTTACTGCTAACACCTCTAAAACTGGTTATCACGTAAATGATATTAGAATCTAATATAAACAGGCTTAAATTTACTTGTATTCCTACGATCTGGACGTGTGTTATAAACAAAACACTATAATTAGTCCTTAAGTCAACGATTTCAAACCCTCCCATTAGATATGTGTATTTATCACTTGGTGGTATGTCTTGCCCACATGGTGCGTTGCACTTGCGACATAAGTTCGCTCCTATTGGGCACTTTCTCGCTTGTCGATCTTGTGATCGGTGGTCCGTTAAAAGTCCGATCGTCACTAACCCTCAAACTGTCACTCAACCTCAAATTGGCCATCAGATTCGCGGTATCTTCTGCAGAGTTCGCCGGGACTGGGACTATCACCCGCAGCCTCCCGTCAGGATCAGTGGTAGTTAAAGTCCCCATATGGGATAAGGGCTTAATGAACTGACCATCCCTCCTGTCGGGACTCGGCTGTCTTTGCACGTTCTGCTGCACCTGGAGGTGGTTCCCCGAGTACTGCATGGACGTCCCCTCGTTCCCTCTCGCGGGGCTCACCCGGCGCTCCGATCCCGGGCTACTCCCAGCAAAGGAGTGCCTCATGGGCATGGGTGACGGCGGCAACTTCTTCTGAGTTGGGGACGGCAAGGTGTAGTTGTTGTTGATCAACGGTTGACTGTACAAGTTGGGTAAGTAAGGGAGGGTTTGGGTGTAGTTATAAGCATATGAAGGAGGGTACCCGCCTATATTTTGGAGTTTTTGGAGAAGTTGGGGGTCGTAGCAGGCGTCAACTTGGGGGAAGGAGAAGTTGAACACACTGCCGGCTGGATTGTAAGATGTCCGGAGGGGCGAAGGTGGTAGACATGATGTTACTGCTCGGTTTTCGATCAGGCCTTGGGGGTTTAAACCCAAAGCTTGTAAAGCGCTACTGTTGTCCAGCGGGGCGGTTTCGGAGAGGTGGTCCGAGGAGTAGTTTTCGCCCGACCCCGGCTGTTGTTGTTGCTACGTGCAGGGAAAGAGTAAGAAGGGGGCAATTTTGACCTCGCCATTGCAGGGTGAGCGTTTATCGAGGAAACGGGTTTTATTTATATCCCAAACGAATTTAAAAAATATTCAAAAGAAACTTGTGGTAACAAAAATACAATTTCATTTTAGTTTCTCAACAGAGAGCTGAAAAAATGAATTGCTTAAAGAAGTGTAAACATTATAAAAACCTCACAACCGTGAGCAAAGATAAAAAACTTAGTAAAAAACACATTTATCAAAAACCTTAAACTTGGAACAATGTTGATCCTGTGCGTGATAAAACAAAATTAAAAAATATAAAACTGATGAAAATTTTGTTTTATGAAAATTTTGTTTTATGCAAATTTGCGTTAATAATAATTTTTGTTCGTTTTAACTTGATGCTCTTGATTCGGCGAGGAAGCCAAACGTAAAAGATTTATCTACCCGCTATTATAAAAGCCCATCAAACCTCGGTGCTCATCCCAAATGACGCAACTCACAACAGCAAGAAGTTAATAGCAGTATCTTGTTATTACCTAACATTTAGTCGTGGTGAATATGTCCAGAAGCATATGGTTATTATTATCCGACGATTTTGTAAAGACCTGCACACAGAATGCAACCACTCAGTATGAGCGTCTGGCGGAAAGCAGCAGCGAAAATAATCGCCAAGTATTAAGTAGTATTGGAAGCACAATGCGCTGCCATGCTTTTACGCCATCCTACTGGAACACCCTATGTATTAAAAGACCGCGGGAAATCTCATGCACACACTTCGAGGGGATTCAGTCGCCCCGGTCGTTTCCAATTCAGCAAGCAACAGGCAATTTATTGTCGAGAACAAATCAACACTTCGACATGCTTGGGTACCTACCTGGGGCATCGTTACGTGCGGGGGACTCTGCTGTTGACTGACCTTCTCGCCCCCTTGGAGGTGCGCCACGAGGGCGGCGATGTGATCGAGCAATTCCCTGTTGTGGATGAGCAGCTGATGCGTTCGGGCCTGGGCCTCCAAACGAGCGCTCTACAAACAAAAAAAAATACAATTTAATGCCTTTAGAATAACTAGAAAGCACCTTTTTACCGTTTTTTCAGTTAGGTGCGTTTTGTTCAAGTAGTAAATATTTATATATTGTTTTAAATCAATCAATCAATCTTTTTAGGTCAAAATTTATAACTGGAACCCTTTGTTTGGTTTTACGTTTGGAAAGTGTATTTGTTTCAGCATCGACAGTTGACTTTTGAAAAGTTATTAACAAAACACTTGGTTATTTTTGACTTTTTTAGACACTGTTTGTGTAGTCTTTTCGAGAATGAATTGCCAATATTTCACCATTTCCCGTCACCAAGGTAAGTATCCATAATTTTATCTCACGCAATTTTATCTTGGCAAGTTTCCTCCATAAATAATAGGAGTCGCACAGATCAAATATGATTGAATCAAGAATTCCAATATTTAGAAAAAATCTGGCACTGAAGTTATAATAAAAAATTTAGGGGGTCATTATTGCACAAACAATAGTGCAAAATTTAGTAACATATTGGTGCAGAGATAAGTAAAATTTCTATCAGAAATTAATTGTATTGGATTATGACACAATTTCAAATAAAATTAGCTATCAAGAAATACAAATTTCAATGTTCCCAATGCTTAACAACATTTCTTATTTTCAAAACAATCGAATACAGTTTCCAGACTTTTTGAAAATGTGCCAAAAGATCAAAATGATTTCACGCATATTTTAATATACGAGTAACAACAGATGATATTTATCAAAAAGTATAAAAAAATCAATAAGGTAAAAATATTTCTCACTGAAAATATGAAGGATCCAAAAAATCCACCATAAATTTGGCAGTGCAAAACGAAACATCTCTAATTAAAATTCCGAACCATTAAAATTTCATTCTCTGCTCATAAAATCTAAACAAGTGAAACTCGCATAATTCTTGTTTATTTACAATTCCCGGTTAAAATCTCGTATAGTCCATGACAACTTCCATAACTCATCGTCAACAAACCTGCTCAGCGGCCAGTTGCTCCCTCGCAAGTTGCAGTTGTGCCATTGCGGCTTGCGTTTGCTGACTCTGCTGTTCCAATTGTTCCCTCAACAACTGCAGTTCGTGGTGTGCCGAAAGGGCGCTTCCCGGCGGCGGCAGCGAGTTGCTACCGCCGCTGCCGCTCCCACTGGTAAGGACGTCGCTATGCGGGGATGAGTACGTTTCCGCTGACGTCTACAAAATGTATGAAAAACTGGTGGCGATGTTTGCGGGTGGCTTACCAGGGGTGATTTTCGGGTGTTGCTAGTTGGCGGGGGCGGGAGAATGTCGAGCTGTTGGGGTTTGGCCGATTTGGTCTCGTTGTAGTCCCGGAAACTCGCGTCGTCGGGAGGGAGGGACATCTTGTCGCTGGTACCCTCAGAGAGTAAATCTGGAAAAAATTCTCCTTAAAATATCAGACATAAGCTGATTAAGGATCATAATACCAATTTTTTACGCTTTTAAAGACAAAAATGTATACAAATACATAAAATAATAAAATAGTACGAGATAAGATATAACTTTGTAACTTTCGTTCTCATTTGTTTTTTGTTTTGTCAAGAAACAAATTTGTATTGTCTAAACAAATTCTTTTTATAAATTCTTACGAAATCTAACATCTGTAGCAGATTCTATCCGGAATATTCCTTCGTGCCTTAATTCAATTTTCCCTAATTTATAAGAAAACGCTTCAAATATCATTAAATAACGTTTAGTATTTATAGGCATTACCGGCGACGGCGAAGATTTAGGAAAGTACTTTCATCAAATTATCCTTTATAAGTTATCAGATCAAATTACTTTTAGTTCACAACTTAAAAATAAAATCTTATTTCATTTTTTTTTTCAGATTTGATGTTTTCAAATGTCAGTGTTTTTTTTATAAATCACAAAAAGTTTTCATACTGATTGAAGTTAAAAAAATCCTTGAAGTAAATAAGCGAAATCCTTGGTAATAATTTTAGAATTGTCAAAATGATAGAACCATTCAGTGATTTCAAATACCTTTCAAAAATTAAATCGTATTTTTCACTGTTTCCTTCAGGGACGCACCGCGCCAATTCGCCTCTCTCGTGCAATTTTCGACTGAAAATTTGCAACAAACACCCTCCAGTATCAAATTACATGTTCAACAATTTCGCTATTTAGAATATCAGAATCCTCCCCTATTGTGAATTTCCAGTTTGTACAAGTTCCAAAAACCTGATTACGCCAGTATTTACAGTTCTGTTATTCACGAGGCGGATTAGGCTGCCATAACTTTCTTTTGATCAAGTTGCAAACTCCGAACAAGACTCCGTTCCAACTTTTCAGACACCTGAAAAAACGCCCGCGAAACTGAAACCGACACAAATGACGTCCTCCTTCAAAACAATGCTTTAGGTGCTTTTGGCAACAGTTCACAGAATTGCCACGTTACAAAATTAACGACATTCGAATCTAAGAGAAAAACAGCAACTACGTCAACCCAGTTTTCCTGAAATTTTTAGTAGAAACAAACTTTTAGATCGGGATTTTCATCTCGACAAATTATATGTGATTAGTCTAACTCCAGAATAAATGACAGGGTTTATTTATTTCGTAATCGTGCTGATCCCAGATTAATACCTACAACTAAAATTATTTCATGCATGAACGCAGCCTGTTTGATCCTTAATATCAGATATATCGATTTAAATTATTTCAAAGCATCGCTAAAACCGTCTAATTAATTACTCTATTATTAGTAACAGAAACGGCAAAAACACAGTATAAATAGAAATACTTCAAGTAAATTGCGTGCGACGCATGGCTTGTATTTTTGATTACACTTATCCAACCTCTTCAATAGCAAACAAAAATATCTTCAACAATTTGATGATTCACTAATCGGGTGTTATATAACACAAGTCATCTTTATTTCAGCCAAGTTTAAAGAAAGTGAAAATGTTTCTCGACTCGTACTTCTCTAATAAACTAATCGTAAAATTGTGAAATATTTTTATTATGTTTATAGAAGAGCTAATAAATAAATTGTAAATTTTATGCAGTGGTTAATGTTAGTTCTAAGCTAGGTTTGATTTATCTACTCCAAGCGAGCGCTCTACACCTCGAAATAGTTATTTACATTCGTGTGCGGTAACTTACATTTTACAGTGCGAAATGAATTTGAAGCACGACGCGCAGCGGAGTGCTTTAATAATTGAGCACTGTAAAATGGTTAACGCACAAGATTTGTATTAAGCTTTTTGGCCGACGTTTAAACAAAAATCTACAAAATTCAGAATTAATACAAGTAAATACGTTTGACATTAAATATCACGGTGGCTATGCACTCTAATGTCAAACAATTAAAAAAGACGCAAAAACGTCTCAG